ATCCTTGACAATACTCCAATACATTAAAGTAAAAATAACAAATTACTTAATGCTGTTTACTTTCACCATACTCGCCTACCCTCAATCCAATTGAGAAAGTTTGGAGTAATTTAAAAACGATGTTTATATGTAGATAATCGTTGAATCCCCAGATATTGACAAATTAATCAATTAATTCTGTTCCAACCTCAGTTTAAGAAATTATTGAAATGCATATCATGTCGTGTATTCCAAACTTAGGATAATGTTTTTATCAGATTGATGAGTAATGATTAATATATTTAATTAAAATTATAGTTAAAAAAGTATAATTCAGAACCATGCCCTGAGTGCATTATTTTTTTCATTAGTATTAAATTAATTCAATTTGCTATTTATTTAGATTGTAATCGCATCAAAATGATTGTCTTCGATGCTAATATACTCTTACGCTGAGGAGATAATGATCATCAGAAATGAAATAATATAATTTCTTGATAATGATCCCTACAATTTACCATCTAAGGTGAGATGGTTATGTTAAGCTTTGATGGCTTCAATTGTGAATTTGCTAATCACAATCTGCCTAAATAATGAGGAGATGAGGTAGTTAGCAGCACAAACTCAACTACCCAGATAGTGTACTTGGAAGTATACAATGCTCATCAGATAGGGAAGCGATTGTTTCTGAGATTTCAGCCCTATCTTCTAAAAGGAATTTTTAGATTACATTCCGCATCAATTATGAGTAGAGATTGTGGGAGGTAATATGTTCCCCAACACTTAAGAATCTCAATCTGAGAACGCAGTAATTACAATTATTAAACTTTGTTTCATAGGATATCTTTTATACAAATCATATCGCTTGTAATATATGATGGGAAAGTTAGCCTCAAGAATAATATATGTGATTGAGATACTCCTACTCTTTTTATTATATTGCAATACTGAATTATGGCAAAAAATCTTTCAAATCTCAAGAAACAAATATTTAAGTTGAGGTGTTCAATAAAATCTGTCATCAAAGAGGAAGAGTTTATTAATTGTGTTTTTTTTTTATTTCTATCACTTATTCAGCCAGCTCATCAAACATAGTACTGATTGTTTATCATGATTAACTATGAGGAAAATTCAACTCTTCTAATCACTTTAATTGATTGAAGTGTGGAGGAATCTCTCCTATTTGACTGAGTGGTTAGGTTCATCATAGATATCTTGGATGGCAGCGATCGTTAAAGAGCATTAAGCATATTAAAGTGATGTCAAGGATGATGAGGTGATGATTGTTTAAGAGAGCGGAGATTTTCTTATTCATATTGCACTCAATACAATTCCTCACTTAGGAGGATGCTCGCATGATCATCAATTCCATGGTTGAGTATTCTTATCATTGATTATGATAATTATTTGGATGAATTTAATATAGATCAAATTGATATTCTAGTTCATTTTTCTCATAATGCACTGAAATTAATTATGAAAGTTCAAGATTCGTCCTATTTAGTAATAATTGCAAAGGGTGGATCAAGTTACTGTAATTCAGTTATATACTATGCTCAAGTTTTGCTCATCAAATATGTAATTGGTTGCAAGGTTTTGATAATGATGGAAACAATCTTTCATTTAGAATGAAAGATAAATCAGTAAACAATTATGAGGGATATCCTCATCAAACATGCTAATCTTATTCAAATTTAGGGAATAATTGTAGTGAATGGATTATGATGACTATATGAGGTTGACAATAAATTTGCATTAAGAACTCTATATTTTTTTTCTAAGACAAATTTTTGAAGTTTTCTTAGATCTATTAATCTGTTTTTCCCACTCAACATCCTAATTGGATTGACTAACAGCACAATTATGATAATTAACAATCGAAGATTCAAGTTTTTCTATATTTAAAGACAAGATCTGAATGGTGATATGTATACATATATGTATATATATGAAGACGGATGGATGGCAAGAGCAGGAGCGAAAGGATTTTAGAAAGAGGGAATAATTCATACTTTTAAAAAGTAAAAAAAACTTCACAAAGGCCTAACCTATTTAAACAAGGAAAGCTGAAAAAGATTGTTCCTTCAGTAGATCCTGCTTTTGTGAAATTTTGAAAATTATACGAGGATATTGGAATGGGGCGGAAAGATAACCGCAAAGCAAATGTGTCTTTGAAGTGTTGATTACTCTTTTAACAAGATTATACTGATGTTAATGCAAAAACCGTCCTATATTTATACATTTTTGGGTCAGGTATTTAGACTCTTCTTGCACTAATTTCAGGCTTTGAAATGCTTGCATATGATTTATGAAACAATTATGCTAATCAAAGGATTACATACACACATAAAATGTATTGTAATTACAAATTCTAATCAGATGGATGATTATGAAGACTATGGTATTCCAAAAAATGTAGGAACCACTCATTTATTGATTTTATAGATGTGCCATCAAATACTACATCTGTAAGGATGCTTTCAAGTATGTACATTTATTTCTTTCTTTTTTCATTACTTACTCTCCTGAGATGTTTTGCAACATAACCAGATAGATGGATATTGATAAGAAAGTGATGTAATTCATTATGGGGCAAAAATTGCTAAAATTAACATTAAAAAAGGGGGACAATGAATTTGTTGAATTTTTGTCAAAACTGGATTTTGAAGCAAGATATTGAGGACTGAGTGGGTTATCTTTTATAATATACCACTTTCCTAGAAACAAGATTTGTATAAATTAATGTTTAAGAATTCAGGATGCTTGATTTCCATAACATTGAAACGATGATAGAAAAACTGGTTCTAAACTTTACTTTATAAATACGCTGTTAGCTTTTCTATAAAATCATTTTATATAATAGATATCTCGGATATAAAAAGAAAGTGCTGTTACTCTTGCAAATCTTAGAGAGGTGTATGCGTGTTAATAATATATTTTTTCCGCCTATTCACATCAGTATTACCCAATAGAATTCTTTTAATTTGTATGCAGTAAAAGAGAGAGATTCTCATTTCTGAGTAAATGAAAACTGTAGAATAAATTCTTTCAAGGCTTTTGTAAATGAGTGGTGGATTGTTCAAAATCTTTCTTATATAGTAATTAACTGTTTCCAAACTGCTTCTGTAATTTGATTTTTACATAAGGTAAATCAATATTTGTAAAAATATACATCTTTTTTCATTATATTTTAGGATCCTTTAATTAAATTGTATCTTTTGTAATTCTGGATATAATATTAAAAATAATTCATTATAATCTTGTTTGGAAGTTATATCACAAAAGCCCTACTTTAAACTAAAAAGAGATAGAATTAATGGAGTTGGAATGATTGGTTTTATGGCTAGATATACAAAATAACTATGAAAACTTGATTAGATGTTTAGTAAGTTTCAGATTTCATTTCTTTTATTCACAGGCAAACAACAGATATAATTCTATTAATTTATAAAAACCCTCATAATTAGTTATATAAGATGCAGCAGAGCAAGATACTGCAAAAGCATCAGTAGTTAAATATATAATGATGTTGAAAGCAATTCAGTGGAGCTGGAAATCCAAAGAATTCAAGTAAGCCTGTTAATATTGATAAACAGTCACATACATTCCACATGATGACCCCAACGATTAAACATCATGAATGGGACTGTTTTGATGTTATTAAGCAAAATGATATGAGCTTTTTGAAGACCCTTCGAACCAAAGAAGAGATATAAAAGAAATTGTATATTTCTACAACAGACCGCTGACACTAGTCATATGGTTACCAATAAACTTTTGATGATAAGATGAATAAGAGTTTTTGGAAATTTATTATGGCTTGCAATTTTAAAAGATTGATGAACAATGAGCAATTTAACACTCTAATTTTAATAAAATGGGAATGCTGTTTAAATGATTATAGAGAAATCCATCAAATTCAAAACAGCTCTGAATGGTCAAAAAAAAACAATATAAATGAGATCATTAAGGTAATAAGGACAGCTTAGTCTCTGATAACATTAACCATGATTTCAACGCATAAATTTGCGGATTTATAGAGAGTGTACATGAATGGACAGATTTGAGTTTTATTCTGAAATGTAAATACAATATATCCATAACAACACAGGTAAAAGATTAACATATACATCATCTACGCCAAGGAGAACAGTTCCAACAGATAAATACTTGAGTACATTTAAAGATATCTCGAAAGCAACCTTACATCCAGTGCAATTTGTAGCAGTAGCATAAGGAGATATCTATGTGATTCAAAAAGAGAGCTTACACTTTTTAGTAACCAGCCCTACTCTAAAAAATCAAAAAATGAGAGTACTTTTATTAAATGTATTTGGTAGAAAATAGCTATCAAGAAATGCTAGCACATATACGCCATCAGAGAAAATCCTTAGTAGAATTTTTCAAAAGATTTGCGAGAAGTCAAATTGCGAAAAACAACTTGGGAGGTCTCATTAGTATGTTTAGAAATATTTAGAACATTTTTAAATCAAGTTGCCAAATATTGACAAGTTGAGCGCGGAGTTATGTACCAATAATATAGATGAACGCAAGAGTCATTTAAGTTATTATTCATGAAATAACCTCTTATGTAAACTCTCCAATAGCTAACACTATCAAATGAGTAACAATGTAAGTGTTATTTTATGATTTATATATAGCTACGATGGTTAAGCAATTGAGAATAGCTGAATTAGCTTGAGCAGTTAATATCCAATTTTATTGTAAAGCATTAATTTACGACGGCTGCTTATTAACTTATTAACCTTGTAGTAGGATTGATATCCAATATCTCAATCTGTTCCATAAGAGCAGTTTCATAAGTATTGTAATTACACAATCAAATTGCTGCATGAATTAGCATACATTAGCCTTTTGAAATTCAAGAAAAAGGAGAGCACCTCAAAATTTAGGGCAGACTAATTTTCATTTCAAAAATAATATCCGAATTAAAGCTGGAGCAAACCTTTGCTCCAATTTGACATAATTAAAAGGTGACAAAGATTATTATTTAAGAGAATATGAACGGATGCTCTCTTATCACAAGGACAGCAATTAAAAACAAAAATCTTACATCGGATGCAATAAGGTAGAATGAAGTTCAATATGGAGAATTGAAAATTATGCCTAAAAAAGTTCTTAACTTATTCCATCCTTATTGTACTCTGATACACACTGTACACACTATTAAAAAATAACAGTTAATATACTTAGCATAAGAAAAGCATGCAAGAATAAATTAATTTTTATTCCATATGAGATATCAGAAGCCATAATAAAACAGCAATTGGACCACTTACACAAGTACTCATATGTATCACATGTAGAAGTACTTAGATTAGTTAATTGAGCTTATTTAGAATTTAGTTTGCTCTCAAATGCAGGTACATTTTAAGCATTGGAATGTGCATTTAGTGTAAATCGCGCTCCTTTTTCATACATTTATCTCAAGTTACTTACCAATTTCAACCATTAACATAAAAACCAGATTTATAAGATTCAAAATGGTTATTACAAGTGGAAAAGGATTTTCTCATTATCTTACGATAAATAGTAGCTATTAAAGAGAAATGTGTTCACCACAATATTGTGAACAATAATTCTAAAATATAGGGATGCTATAGGGAAAGAAGATCGAAAAAGAAGGAAAAAAATATGTCCAATGCAGTGGTAGTGCATCCCAAAGAATGAATCACAACTTAAAGAAAAAATGCTTAAGCATGGCAATCCGAAGAACGAAGAAATTAATAATAATTATCTTCCATAGTTTTGACATTGTTAGGGCCAGTGTTACATATTTTGGCTCTATTTTTAGTGCATATAATTCAGATGCATATGATGCGCTCCGCATCTAGAAGTTAATTTGAACTTTATATGTTTGCCAGGCACTAATTCTACTATAAATGTAGAAGATGTCAGAACGATTCAAGTTGAACAAGAACCAGTGCATTCATCAAAAGAGGTTAAATTGAGAATTAATCTAAGTCTACTTTTAGTGCTAACGATGGCACGATGTAATTTAGTACAAAGAGTTGTATGAAGGATAATTTAACTCTTTATCATATCTCCTGCACACTTATACAATTAGAAGTTGAATATACTCAAAATTAAATTTAGTATCAATAAAGAAACCATTATAAATCTGTTCATTTAGTTCCTGAATTACAAGTATAGCATAAATTAATATTCTGTTAGGCTTACTGTTTATGAGTTATTTGTGTCAAGATATTATAAATGTTGAATGATTTTCAGGAAGTACTAACAAATAATGAGAGACTCAAATATAACGTTTACAATCATCATTATAAATTATCATTTGAGACAATCCCAACAACTTTATTTGTATGGGGTTTATGTTCTAATTATCAAAATTATGCAACAATTATTATCAACAGTTTATGAAGTAAATTAAATATTTCGTGTTCGCATTTTAGTATCATATAAATATTATGGTTATTTGCAATCTATTCATTTGCAATGTTATTATTATAAAATCAAAGAGGGCAGAGAAAATATCACATTAAGTTTGACTTAATTTGCTGCTACTTAGATAAAGTAAGACAAAAACTGAAACTGATATTATTAGGATTGCTAAGTAGGGGATCTTTTTTAGTTATGTTTCATGTGTCATGGTATTGGATAATGAAACTTTTAAAATTACCAGCATTATTAACAGATGTGACAGAATAATTAGAGCAATCTGTATATTTAGCTGTTGGCTGATAAGAATCTATCAAAGTAAAAAGGTATTGCTTGAGAATACTTTGCGTTTACTATCCAATTTGAAAACTGCTTTATGTGACATAAGGATTCGAACAGATGATCTAATGACTCTATCTACGAAATACCAAGCAACAAAAACATGAAATTAAGAAGGTGAAGCAAATCTGTTAGACAAAGTGTCTAACACAAATTTGCTATGAGTATAAATTATATAGCGTAGTGAGATTAAATTTACGAACAAATAGATCTACATATATTGCAACTATTATAAGTGCAGGTAAAAATGAATTATATTAAGCAGCATAAAGTTACAGGATTAATAGGGAGTTTAATATATAAAGTCTTATTAAGACAACATCGAGAACATCTTTCACAAGTTGTAGAACATATCTAGTAAGTTGCGTAATTAGTAAAATATAGAGTGCCTTTTAATCCATCAATATCAAATGAGCCACAGGCACAGGCAATATGTTGTAATGTATAATTGCTGAAAGTTTTTACACTTAACTTCAATATGTGCATGAAGTTCGCTGAGTTGATTTATCTACATATTTATTGCTAAATTGATAACAAAAGCTCAATAAGCTAGATAGGAAATATCTACAAATAAGATTTGTGCTTAAGTCTTGCATATAAGATATGGTTAGCATAATCTCACCAATTATTTTAAAGAAATGGTAAGTAGTAACCACCATGATCACTGTTTAAAGATCTACAGGAATCAGTAAATTAAATATGTGAGAGAAGTAGTGAAAGGATACACTGATAAGTTGCATGATTCACATTCATTATCGGAATGTTCACTAGATGCACAAGATGTCGAACACTTAATTCCAGCAACAAGATTTTCGAAAGTCTCACCAAAATATCCACAACTGAAACTTTTGTACCACAACTGGAATGGCAATAAGTTTAGATTGCAAGTTAGGAAAATTATGGTGCAAGCTAAACATGTAGTATCAGTAATCATACATAACTGATACTCTATATAGTTACAAAAGAGGAAATCTTTACATGTAAATCACTTTTGGTTGAATTATGAGAGCATGAATTGAATTGTTTGAACAAATGTATCTAATAGTCCAGCATCTATGAGGATAATTGTACTGAGAATAAAGGATTATCAGTTATAAATTAAGTTAAAAAAGTGTCACATAACTTTCCAGAATGCTTAAACTAAATAAAGATCCCTAATAGTAAGTCGGTAATAAGTGTTCACTTTTAAGCTGTGGCCACTCATACATGAAGTGAATTATCAACCCACTTAGTAGTTGAAATTTAACAAGAAGATTTTGATAGATAATATTCAAGAAAATAGAAGCATCAAACCTTAAAAGTCTAGATTGTAACAGAAGGGTTAGGCAGTTTTAGTATTGATTTAAATAGAAGATCAGAAGTAGACACAAATAGATGAAATCCAAGTAGCATCAAGTTAAGGATTTGAGCAATCATATAAAAAATAGTTCAATTGACATATGCATCAACATTGATAAGTTGTATATGTAGATATCCCTCTTTTATTGGTAAATTACTAAAAAATGCTTCAAGTAATAGCTCAACCAATATTCATAAATGCAAATGAGCCAGGAGTTTTACTCACAGATGCATACTGTTGGATCAGAATGCAAGACTTAAAAGTAAGAGTAAATTAATTATTCTAAGAGCTATTACATGATTGTCAAGGGTAATAATAGCTTATAATCATAGACTAAATATGAGTACTCTAATTTGAGCTAGTATTAATTGGTGAGTCATCATATAGGGACAAGAATTCCAGTTAATGATAAGAATTACACAAACTCCACATTTATTTCGTCAAGGTTGTCATTCAATGAGAAAGATCTGTCTACACAATATAGGAAGGAGTTGGTAAGACAAAGATAATGAGAACTTTGTAACAAGTATCTATTCAGGATGAGCAAACAATTGCTCTTGTAGCAAAGCAGGTGCCATGGAATGATAAATTTATTGTTGTGGTATCAGCAACAATTAAAGCATAAAAGCTGCTGCATTTAAATGTATATATCCTGTTTTATCTGCATATGTTTAATAGGTAAGAAATGTTGAGAATTGTGTAGAACTTGATATTTACCACCCTCATTACAATAATGATAAGGAGATGAACATGATGGATAGTATTAAGCAGGAGCAATATACTAGAATTAGGTTAAAAAAATCATACAGAAGCTTACTATTCCTTAGAGATTGAGTGCATAAAATGGAGATGCCAAAATTTAAAGTTTTCAGCAAGCCTTAAAGATATTTTAATTGTTTAGAATTACACTTTCTCTAGTCATAAGCATTTGTAGTCATTAGCATTTTTCGACCAAGACAGATAGTCTTAAAAAAGGTCTCCAAGATTCCATTGTTGTTACATTACAAGTTTTAAGGATGGCTTTGATTAATTTAATTTTCGAATTGATTAGAGTAAATATGATTTACAAGATCAGCACGAATCAGGCCTGATGGTTAAGGGATTAATGCTGAATAATTAAAATATTTAAAAAAGATGTAAATGCATAAATTCAGTGTATCTTTACTCTCAAGGATTGATATGCCAGAGGTTTGTTGAATTGCTTATATAATTCATATAAATAATCGTTATTGTCTTGTCTTTTATAGTTTTGAAGGTCTTGCGATGGAAGCATCTAACGACATTCAGTATGGAGAAAAAGTGGTATAAATTCTAAGTTAAATAGTTAATATAGCATTTTATATCCTAATGTCTACATGCATTAGTTATTCTAATAAAGCATTAGAAGTTTTTTTGATATTAATTTTTAAGTGTTGTGCTCGCTAAGTTATTTCAGCAAGTATAAATTTAAATTATTAGCAAAAAGTCTTATTGCATTACAATTTAAAATATTTAATATATGATACTATTTCAAGTCTCAAGAATTAAAGTTCGTACAGGTGAATTAACGAAATGATATTTGAGTGCAAGAAAATTACGACCCAATAAAATATAAAGCAAATTTTAACTTATGTAGCCATCATTTAAAGAACAACAAGCACTAGTGTTTGCAGATCAATACCAAGGCTAAGCATTTAAATTGGATTCTCTGTGTCAACTGCACATTTACCTGTAAACAAAGTAGAACTTTCCTTTCAGTACTTTGAATTTCCTTGCAAGCTGAGCAATATGATTGACTTTTGATATTTATAATTCTTGATGCTTTGCAGTTAGCTGATTTTAAGGTAGACTATTATAATTCTAAAGCATTACAAGAAGATGGTAAACAACCGAAGCTTATTAGGCACCCTTAAACATATTTATTTTGCATCGAAGCGAAATAAGAGACTAAATTTTAGAAATGAAACTAGAATCTGTTTTTCATGAAAATTTATTTAGTTTAGCAGTATTAAAGAGTATTACATAAAGTACTGATTCATGCATTACAAGACTATAAATAAAGTGGTTACAATAAATTCATAGGAGTTTAAAGCTTAAATAATAAATTATTATATTATAAGATCCAGAATCACAATAAAATAAACATTTGCTGCATTAAGCACATGGTAGTGTCAATAATAAACTAAAATTTTCGAATTTTTCAAGTATAAATAGAATGGCACAAGGGTTTTATGATGTCCTAGTTTAGCAATAATTTGGACTAAGCAACTCTATCAGCAAAAATTTTAGAATGACAACATTTTGCCACAAGTTGAGTTATTTTAGGATAGAATTCCACGAATTAGAAATGTTGTTAGTTAAGCTAATTTATATCTTGCATTCGATATTTTTGAAAACGACATAAGTGAATTGAAATAATTGAATAAGCACTAGTTGAAATGCTTGCAATTTATTGATGACATAAATAAAAGCATCTTAACTCCTGGATTTCAACCTATAGTTGCCTTGATATTTACAAAGTCTTACTATTGGCAACATATCATTGAAAATAGATAGAATATGTTTCCACTATCAATCAATTTTGTAGTGGCAAATAACATTCTTTAAAATAAATAGCATCACCAGAGGTATCAAAGTTTGGAAGGACTTCTTTAGTATTCTTAAAATTGAAATAATTTAATAACTTTTTTCTTTAATATTAGATGAAGTGGCATAAGATAATATATTGTCAAGCAATGCAATTGTTAATTTTGGGTTGCTCATTTAAGTTTAAGAAAAATTATTAAAGAGGACACAGTATTTCTTGTTATTGAGCAAAAAATATAAACATTAAGAAAATGAAATTATCACAATTAGTAAAAGACAAAAAAAAATGAATTACAAGAAATATAGATTGATGAAAAAACTTTTAAAAAACAAATATAATCAAATATGAATGATTCATTAAACAACTTTCCTTGAAAAATAAATCGTATTTAAAGTAAATTTGTAAATGTTTACCTTTTTTGTTTTGAAGAGTAATTCTATATGTATTTAATTATTTTAAGAGACTAATATTTTTCTTTTTTAATCCTGGTGGTTTTGTGTCTTAGAATTGAACTTAATAATTTTGTTTTTTAGAGTTACCTACTTAATTTTGACTATATATCCCATATTTTATCCTCTATTTCATCATGGATATAATCAGTATTTATAAAACGAAAGTATAATTTTTANGATGGTAAACAACCGAAGCTTATTAGGCACCCTTAAACATATTTATTTTGCATCGAAGCGAAATAAGAGACTAAATTTTAGAAATGAAACTAGAATCTGTTTTTCATGAAAATTTATTTAGTTTAGCAGTATTAAAGAGTATTACATAAAGTACTGATTCATGCATTACAAGACTATAAATAAAGTGGTTACAATAAATTCATAGGAGTTTAAAGCTTAAATAATAAATTATTATATTATAAGATCCAGAATCACAATAAAATAAACATTTGCTGCATTAAGCACATGGTAGTGTCAATAATAAACTAAAATTTTCGAATTTTTCAAGTATAAATAGAATGGCACAAGGGTTTTATGATGTCCTAGTTTAGCAATAATTTGGACTAAGCAACTCTATCAGCAAAAATTTTAGAATGACAACATTTTGCCACAAGTTGAGTTATTTTAGGATAGAATTCCACGAATTAGAAATGTTGTTAGTTAAGCTAATTTATATCTTGCATTCGATATTTTTGAAAACGACATAAGTGAATTGAAATAATTGAATAAGCACTAGTTGAAATGCTTGCAATTTATTGATGACATAAATAAAAGCATCTTAACTCCTGGATTTCAACCTATAGTTGCCTTGATATTTACAAAGTCTTACTATTGGCAACATATCATTGAAAATAGATAGAATATGTTTCCACTATCAATCAATTTTGTAGTGGCAAATAACATTCTTTAAAATAAATAGCATCACCAGAGGTATCAAAGTTTGGAAGGACTTCTTTAGTATTCTTAAAATTGAAATAATTTAATAACTTTTTTCTTTAATATTAGATGAAGTGGCATAAGATAATATATTGTCAAGCAATGCAATTGTTAATTTTGGGTTGCTCATTTAAGTTTAAGAAAAATTATTAAAGAGGACACAGTATTTCTTGTTATTGAGCAAAAAATATAAACATTAAGAAAATGAAATTATCACAATTAGTAAAAGACAAAAAAAAATGAATTACAAGAAATATAGATTGATGAAAAAACTTTTAAAAAACAAATATAATCAAATATGAATGATTCATTAAACAACTTTCCTTGAAAAATAAATCGTATTTAAAGTAAATTTGTAAATGTTTACCTTTTTTGTTTTGAAGAGTAATTCTATATGTATTTAATTATTTTAAGAGACTAATATTTTTCTTTTTTAATCCTGGTGGTTTTGTGTCTTAGAATTGAACTTAATAATTTTGTTTTTTAGAGTTACCTACTTAATTTTGACTATATATCCCATATTTTATCCTCTATTTCATCATGGATATAATCAGTATTTATAAAACGAAAGTATAATTTTTAAGAATCTATTATAATTATTATTTGAAAGTTAATTCGAATTTGAATTCAATATCATAGTTATCTTACCATTTTTAAATTGGTTGTTAGATTCTTATTTTTTAAAATTGATTCATATTATCTAAAGTTTAAATATGAAATCCTATTATTTTGAATAAATGATAGTTGAATACATAGCTTTAGTTATAATTCTTTATCTTGCCATGTGTTGATTAATTATTTAATTTTCATTAATTCTCTAAAATGATACTAATTTTTCTAATGATTAGCCTATTACGGGGATAGTATTCATTATAGAATGAAGTATTAAACAAATCAACATTAATTGATTTTCAAATGGTTGAATAAATTGAAGTAGACAATTCAGATTAGAATTGCCTAACCTTTGGAATTTGGTCAAAATATAATCCATTAGGTAATTCAAAATTGAAGGATGCCTATAGGTTATTTGACAGTAATTGCTTTTAGATAATAAATTCGTTTGATTAAGTGACTTTAAGTCTCAATTTTATTTCATATGATTGTGTTTTCGATACCACAAGAGAAATCAAAAAATTCATCTAAATTGAATTTAGTTAGACTGATTAGTTTATATATTCATTACAAATAGAACCTTCTAAATATGAAGATTTTTGGTATTTTTTTTAAATTATCACAAATATATAGAAACAAAGCTTAGAACTAGCAATTTATTTTTAAATCAACTAGATTTTTAAAGAAACTATCAAACTTGTTTTCCCTAATAAGGATTAACAACTATTATTTACATTTGGAGGCAGTTTAAAAGTAGAGAATTCAAATATTGCATTGATTGAATAAGGAAGAATATTTTCTCTATATCCAGGTTAATTAATTGTGTATAACAGAGATATGGAGAGGATACCAATAGATTTTGATTATTGGTTGTAAATTACTGAATTTTATAAGAGATATAAAGTTGTGAATGTGTTAGAGAGATTGGAAAGAACAATATTCATTTACTCTTTTTAGATCAACATACTAATGTTTTGCAGAATATTAATTGCAATTCATACACACTTGCTGGATGGCTATAGATATCAAAAATTCATCAATCCTCTGAGGAGTTTACCTATTAGTTCATAAAAATAAGTACAAATTAGGAGGAAATGTAAAATGAAAATTTAGCAGCATTTCAACTTTTTTATCAGATTTCACCTATAAAAAATAAAATAATAATAACAACTTATAAATACAATTTTCCTTCTGTTACATAAGACTTTGAAAATAATCCATAATTAATTAGAAGAGAATTAATATTATAAAATACTATTACTTCATGGTAATATATATATGTAAATCTGCAAGAAAGTGTTTTAGATTTCTCAATTATATTTTATGAAGCTTAAAATATTTAGTCATATGAAACCACATTTGAAGTTAAGTAATTCCAAAATTATTAATTAAAAATTACTCTAGGAAACATTTAATAAACAACATTAGATTATTTAGATGTGATAGTTAGAGATCTGCTACTTATCAATTGTATGTATGATTTAAGATAAGATAAATGTCATTACAGCTGTTAAGAATGTGATGGCCCTACTAAGTATCATTGTTTAACTTGTTCTGCTGAATCAAAAAGAAAATATATTGCAGAATTTAAATAATGTGCTTGTATATACGGCACAATTGATGATAATAATTACTGCATTGATTATAAAGATTAAAACTTTTACTTAGACCTTTAGTTTAATGGCAAAAAAACAACAAATTTAAATTGTAAAATGGGTTACTTTGAATTTGATGGAGATTGTATTAAATGGTAAATATAATTCAATATTATTGTTTAGCCCTTATGGAATGTAGAAAGATTTCTTAATTTGCTATGATTGTTATAGATATTTAGATACATGGAGCTTAAATCCAATTTGTGAGCATATTTTAAAACTTACTTAAGTTTCTGGTAAATATGAAGCACCAAGTATTTTGAATACTTATCTGTATGATTCTTCTGACTTAATTTCTACTAATTTCAATATATTAGATTTTCTAGGCAATGGTATTCAAAATGAAACTCTACTTTATGATCATTTTAGGAGGAGTTCTGAATTTTTTATTTCTTTTTGTAATAAAGAAACCAGTATGGATGACAAATAATTATGTTATCCTTGTAGAATTTATAACTGTTAGAGTTGCGGTTTAACATTAAATAATGATTTGTTTTGTTTAAAATGTCTTAAAGGAAATACACTTGTTAATGGTCAATGTATCTCAGATTATTTCAATTTTAATTATGAATCATGTTAACCTCCATATTATGCAACTTACTCTAGAGAGTGTAAGCTATGCACATTAGAGAATTGCATATATTGTTTTGAATTTCTATATCTTTATGAATTTGAAATTAGCATTGAAGTTTACAATTTAAACTACGAGAACGTTAAAGGAAAAATTGGTTGTATGCTGTGCAAAAAAGATTATAACTTTAATTTCAAGATTGGAAAATGTTTATAAAAAGCTCCATCGATAAAGAATTGTGTTACATCTGTTACAAAATTAACAAATGAAGAAATATGTTTAACATCTTCTTTAGATAATTTTCAAGTTTCAAGAGAGATTAATCATTGCGATACAATATTAACTAATTGTTCAAACTGTTTTCTTGACTACAAAAACAAATTAACATGCTTAGTATGCAATTCTGGATATGTATTATTTGGTGAAATCTGCTATGAAAGTGAAGAACAAAACGCTTCTTACTTAAATGAATTTTGGCGTTTGAAAGTGAAAAGTTTTTTAATAAACTTTTATTAAGTTGATGAAATACCTCCAACACTCAATCCTTGTGGAAAAATGTGTGATAAATGCATTTTCTCATTAGGTGAGTATTTTTGTGATAAATGTTATCTAGAACCTAATGGAGAAAATTTTGATGATACAAATTATATGTGTAAAACATGTTCTCCACTTTGTCGGCTTTGTGAATAGAGAAGTATATACAATCAAGTAAATATATATTGATTGTATTTAGAGAATGGCTCAATTCCTTTAAACCCCCAATATGAATACTATCTATACATATTAATGTAATCTCCCTTTTATAGATCCGTTTATTAATTATAATCCTTATTTAAAAACTACTTAATATTGTTTAGAAGGTGATTGTAAGAAAGAACTAAATTACGAATTTATTGAATATAGCTGTTTTTTTGATAGATTTCCAAGAACCCTAGATGGTTTAGGAATTCAAACTGAATATTTGAATAGTATTGGAGCTGTTTCTATGACCGTAATTATCAGAATAGTACTAGAAGATGAATATTGTACTCTAATACCTACAATAGCAACAACTGCTTCTTTAAAATTTGATGTGTTTACTTTAGAAATTATAAATTTGAAATTATTAACAACTTATCCTTTTTTCTTACATATTTATAGTTAGATTCATATAGAGGAGTACGATTCCTTTACAATGATCGACTATGGCATTGTATTCCCTAACTTAACTATGGAAGATTTTAATATCAGTAATAGCTATAATGAAGTCAATTTTACATTAATAAATATTACAATAAAGGATAGTTTAATACAAAATGTTCAATCCTTATTTAAAACAAAGAACTTTGGTTATGTAGATCTATAAAATATATCAATAGTTAATTCTCAATTTATTAATTCATCACTCTTTAACTTTAACAAATTTAACTTAATGGGGAATGTTAGAATCAATTAATTACACTTATTTAATTGTACTTTTAATAACTTAAATTTGTTTGAATTCTCTTACACCTAATTTTCAATTTCATTAATTAACCTTACTATGGACTAATGTTCTCTATACAATTCAGCTGTTTTTAATTTTTTTGCTTAAAATCCTTTTGATGTTCAAATATATCTTTTGAGCATATCAATTTAAAGATCAAATTTTAATCATTCTTATTATTTTTATTGTTCCTAATAAATTGACCTTATTGCAAATAATTTAGTCTTTAATTTCAATGAATTATTAAATTCTATTATATTTGGATTTAGTTCTGGTTTAAATTCATCCTATATTGAAATTATAAACAATATATTTATTGAATCTTCATTTATTTCAACAATATAATTAATAAATAAATAATTAGCATCTTGCAATTTAATGTACTTAATAATAAGAAATAACCGATTTCAAAATTCAAATTTGGTTCGACTTTTATCAGATTTATCGTCAAGTGAACTCTTCATAAGACTAGACAATGTACTTATTGAATATAATGAAGGATTAATTTTAAGTAGTAAAGGTTAACAAAGTTATACTCTCAATCAGGTAAGTTGTTTGTTTAACCTCAATGGCTAGACTATTATTTTGAACAACTTTTCAGTCTATTAAACTAACAAAGTTTATATCCTTTATTTATTTGATAGCCAGAATATAGAACTAGAAAACTTTACTTTTGAAAATTCTGATATAGAAGAAAAGGTATCAATCTAAACTAATTGTTTATAAAATCTAAATTTTCAAAACCAAATAATTTCAATAACTGGGTTTAATAATGTTTCTATATCTAATTTAAATGTAAAGTAGTTATAAAGTATCGATGAATCAATAATTAAAATAATTTCTAGTACCTAAAATATATAAGAAAAAATCGGATAAATAACATTAACAAATATTGAGTTTTATGGAAATCTTCTACAATCGTTGAATTCAATAATCTATTTTTCACTTATTACAATTATATCTGATAGTAACCTCTACATTTTAATTAAAAATGTAGTATTTCAAAATAATATTATGCATGTCTATAATGAAAATTCTTTCAAGGATTCAGCAGCATTATTATACTTCTCCACTTTAGCAAGTACAATTCATATAGAAAATTTAGAATGCAAACATAATGCAATTACAAACTCCTCCAATTCATTTATTCACGTTGAGTCAAAATCTTTGAAAATGATCAATATTTAGGTAAAATATCATAATATTCTGCCTTTTAATATTTGGAATAATTATTATAATTTAATCTAAGTGAGTTAAGATTAGATTTAGTCTCTAATTATGTAAATATTTTAAATTAAAACTATTGGAGGTGCAGCATATATTTAAACCTCTAATTTTATATGTATCAACTCATCTTTTGAGGAAATACTGACTGCAAAAATATCAGTATTTGATATTGTCTCTTCAAGCGATGGAATAATAAAGATGTAAAATCTATCTGTTTTCTAAATAAGAAATACACTTTAGGAAAAAATTGAAAGTGCAGGATGCTTAAGTGTTAATGCGATAAATAGTTTATTAAATCTTCAAATTCAGAATGCTAAATTTTAGAATATTCCTAATAGGATGTCGTCTTCCATAATAACTATAAATCCTTCATTACTTTAAAATAAATTGCTATTCTAAAATATGTCAATAATTAATTGTGTTTCTTTAATAAATTAGATTGTTAAAGTTTAATTTATAACCTAAGCCAATAAATAAAATTCAATATCTTTTATGGATTTAATGATTTATCAAAATTTAGAATCTTGGGTAAATTTATTTTAGAATATTGGAGCTTTGTCTGAATCTGAAATTCAAGAAATAACTCAAAACAATAACGCAATGATATATTTGGAGAATTGCGATGTTACTATAGAAAATCTTTTTGTTGAAGGGATGCTTTTTTCTAGTGTTATAAATTTAAATAACATATTATCTAAGAAAATCGGAATTATTTTTTGTTATTTTAAAATTTAAAATTAACAAATTTAATTTAAATTTATTAATAAATACTTTGAACTTTTTCAATGGTTCATTTAATAATATTTAGAATATTTACTCATAAAATCTCATAGTAATTAATTAGACAGCATAAGAAAAGCACTAAATTTCTTTAAGATCCTTAACTTTTCAAAGAGGATCCATGTATATTGCTAATAATTTCTCAAATTAAGAATACGTATATATATCAACCAATTACTTCATGTCTGGTTGTTCTATATCGAATTTTTCAGTTCCGCATTTATAGAGAAATTACTTTTACAGTAATATAATATAGCTCTTATAATTAAACCAACAACAAATCTCGATATTATATGTTAGGAGCTCGTCAAACTTTGATGTTTTTTTTTTCGATAGGATCAAATTTATAAATAATAATTATTCTTCTATTCAGTAGGGAATTGTCTATTTTGATGATATTAATTTTAAGAAATTTCTTATTTTTAGATTTGATTGTCAATATAATCTTATCAAAAAATATGGATGTTTGAATATGATAGGAAATTAAAATGCTTCAAATTTAGTTGAAATCAAACATTCAAATTTTATTTAAAATCTTGGAACTTAAGGAGTTGCAATAAAAAGTAGTAATATTCTATTAAAGTTAATCCATTGTAATATTATTTCTAACATTGCCCTTACTTAAGGTGGAGGTTTATACATCCAACTCAAATCTAAAAAAATTATAATCTCCAAAACTGTTATAATTTATAATAAAGCTCAAGAAGGAGGAGGAGGAATTTATTATGATTAGGATAATAATCTCTCAACCAAAACCTCAGTTTAGACTTTCATATTTTTCAATCAGGCTGAAGTATATGGAAATAATCTAGTTGAAAACCCGAGTTATTTGTCATTATACATTAATTAAAAAGCAATGTCTGCAGTAGAATCAACGATGAATAATATATCAACTAGCATTCTTAAAATTAGCCCATACTTGGTAATGGAACAAGGGATTAAAAAGTAAACTGAAATACTAATGATACCCAGTACTTAAGTAATCGACACGTATTAAATATTTTTTGTCAATAAGGCTATATACTTAACATACATAAAAAGTTTGAATATTTATTTCAAAAATAGCAAGGGAGAAATACTCCAAAACATGTACAATTCAACCTGTGAAGTTGCAGATTTTATTGTAACAAAGGGGAAGGAAGAAAAATAGTAATCTACTTCAATTCAGCACTTGCAGTATAATATAGAGAATAATAACTTTGAACTAAATACTTTATCTTTTCGACTTGATCCATATTAAAAAGAGACTCGTTCCTTAGAAATTTAAATTTTTTGCAAGGCTCAATAATCACAGAATGGTCTTAATTATATCATTAAGGCAACAAGTTTTAAATGTTAGTTAGGAGAATTTTATATCGAAGAAGGTTGTTAGACATGCAAATCTAACCAAGGATTTTATAGCGTAACTTATGATGCAATTAAATGTTCAATTTTTGATAAAACTAAATTTTAAAACGTAACTTCCAATATGATAAATTTGCAAAAGGGGTATTGGAGACCTAATTACCTATCCGATGCCACAGAGGAATGCTACAAAAATACAGAATTTTGTTTAGGAGGATGGTAAGTTGGAGATAGCACTTGTAGTTAAGGACACATTGGTGCACTATGCGAAATGTGTGATTTATATAATATAAAAGGAGAAGGGTAGTTTTTTAGAAATTAATAAAATTAAAATTGTGTTTCATGCTTAAATGAGGAGAGCAGCATCCTTCCTTTTTTATTTGCTTTATTTTAGTAGAAAATTTTATTATCTTTAGAGCTTTATTATCAATTTCCTTATCACTGAAAAGTATCAACAAATCAAATGCTTTATTCAACTAAATTACAGTTTTTTAAAAAAGGTTCAGCAAAATACTATTTAAATTAATTTAAGGTAATTTAAATTTATAATTAGATCACGAAGGTATTTTAATTAAGATTTTATTAAATTACTTATGGATATTTTCTTCTATATTTACTTTTAGCATAAAGTTTTCATTTTCTATCTTCTTTATTGAATAATCAAGTAATAGCTTTTATTTTATGGTAAATAATTTAGATTGTTACTTATCAAATTTATAAATACATTTAGTCTATGCTTAAATTATTTTTATAGTATTATTAATGATGCTACAATTCTATTTTATACTCATCATTTCGTTTATTTAATTTCAATTTTCATCATAATAAATGGAGAGGAGTATAATTTCAAACACTCTACTTTGCTTATATGTTTTTAATTATGGAGGATTAATCAAATTGTATGAAAGATTTAATAATTAGGTTATGCTCTAAGTTGTCCGTTAGATAAATTTCTAATATTGATTACATTTAAGGAGATGTTTCATTATTATTTAATAGTTAGGAGCATTATTTGTGGATTTATTTTCTTATCATACCACTATTAGTAATTTTTTGTTGTATAATTCCATTTTCATTATTTTTATTGATGTTTAGAAATAGATTTCGCTTATATGAGCTAAAGTTCAGAAAACATATCTGTTATTTATTTAATGAATACAATGAAAAAAGATATTTTTGGGAGTAGGTAAAGTTGATCTAAAAGACATGTATGATATTAGTAATAACTAATTTTGAAAACAATATGCTATTAAAGACAACTTTATTAGGCATTTGTGTAGAAATATATTAAATCTTAGCTATCAATAACAAACCTTACATAATTTCAAAATTTAATAATTTAGATTTAAAATCAGGGTAAATTTGCTTAATTGCTATTTTTCTTGCAGCAAGTCTCTATGAAAGTTAAGTCTTGCAAAATAATTTTTTTTCCATGATCTTTTAAGTCTTATTGATTTTATTATTATTTCAACTAAGTTTACCTTTTATTAAAGAAATTGTAATTATATATTCCAAAAAATATTCATTGCCAATATTAACAAAGATCCATCCTATGTTAAAGAAATCAAAAATAAATTTGTTTAGAAAAATTGGAATTTATTTGGATAAAGAATTTGAGAAAAGAAAAAATTTATAAATGAATATTAAAAAAATGAAATCGTCCCTTAAATTTGAAAGTAGAAAGGAAGTTATGTAATATTGTTATTAATTTAAGAACGTTTACCAAAAGACCAACCGTTAAATCAAATTCAAATAGCAGGGCATCTTTTATCGAGATCAACAATTAATCATAATTTTGAGTTTATTATTATTCAATATCAATAAGTTTGTATAATTAGTTTTAAAATAATTGATATTTCTTGAATTTTTTAATCTGATTGAAAATTATTATAACTGCGATTTTTTAAAGCCACAGAATTTTCAATACATTTAATCTCAATTCATAAACAAGAAATAAAATCAGCATAATCGATATTCAATATATTTATTATGCATTAATTACATTCGTTTACTATATATATAATTTATAAATTTAAATTTTTTTATGGTTTTATTGGTTACAATCTAATCATATTGAAAAAAAAAAATGCATTTTTCTATGTAACTAAAATAATGTTTTTAGTATAGCTATTCAACAATTCATTCTACAGTTTAAACAGTGTTATTTCATAATCATTATTATCATTTATAGTATCTTGTTCTATGTTTTATATTAAATCAAATTTTAGACTTAATGTAAAATACATTTAATTATATTCTCATTAAAAGTAATGAATTCAGTTATTGAGAAACTTATTGGCAAAATAATCCAAAGAATTTCAATATTACGATTAATGATGCCTCAAATGATTACTTTGTTTCATAAACTCACTTTCTTGTTGCTCATTAACTTATCAAATCAAAATGATTTATAAGAATACTAGAAAATTTAGTATAATTGATTTTATGCTATGTTTATTGTAAGTGTAAAGCCTCAAAATAATATGTTTAAAATATTAGAGACCATGAATGTAAGACAAGGCAAGTTTATTGTGTTATTAAAACTTAATTAAGAATTATTAATTTTAGTTTGCAAATAGCCATATTAATGTATGAAGTTAAAAGGATTTAGGAAAAAAATTATTGATAAATTTTAAAAATAACAAAAGCCGTTATAAGGTATCTTCTAATGATGATCATAATTTTTTTAATTTCTGAATCTCTACGAAAAGATACATTGAAAGTTTACAAAGTATCAATCCCTAATAGTAGCCATTTTTGTTCAACATCATCCTATGAGGCAACCTATGAGGGTACTTTGATTGCTGAATACCTTATTCGATTATTTTGGAGAAGGTAAATGGATGACAGATTAAAAATATTTAGTTATTGGATGAGAAGAAAAAGAATTTTAAAGGTTTTAAATAGTATCTAAGTTTCTTCCATCTGCATTTTGATGACATGGAAACCTTTCATCATATACTAATACATAGGACTCGGATGGAGATGTTAGAACATTATCGCTAGGAACACGAATAAGAGGAAATAATAATAAAAAAAAGATTTATGAATTTTCAGATTCAATAAAAAGTGAATGAGCAGATTATCACATAGCAGATCATTATATCAGATTCAGACTCAGTGAGGAGCTAGGAATAATACCACAATTAATGATAAACTAGTAAGGGTTTACAGTCGTGAAAAGAAAAAGGGAGTGAAGGTTGAGAATTTTGGAGCTCTTCAGAGTAAAGTTCCTCAGTATAGGAACCATAGAATGAATCTGATTCCTTAGTGGATATTTGATAAAACGTAAAAAATATGTGAAGGATTATGGCTGTGGGATTTTTTAAACTATATTTAAAATTAACTTGGGAATATATATTGGAAGCTAGAACTCTGTAATCATGGCACATTTCAAATATTCTGCTTGTTAATTTGACTACAAGTGCAAACAATGTTTGTTAATATACAGAATTTGTTAAATTTAATTTCTTATTACTTTAATCGTTCATAATTTTCACTTGGCTGTGCTGCCTGTCCCATTTCTCCTGTAATATTATCGCGCACTGCTTTTACGAGCCTTAGAGTTTTTTATATCTGGTACTTTAAATTATATAAATCCCTTTCTACTACTATTCAATCAATATTCTTTAAAATTCAGAATTTACATTTGATCTTGCACTTCACTCTTTCATTACTTTGCAACTCAAGCCAAATCTTTTCACTATTAAATAAGTGTTCTTCCCCCATTCCTGGATTGGATTTAAATGTACTATCTTCTGCTTCATATAATAACGCGATTCATAAAAACCCTGCTATTAAAGTTACTCTGTCAAACTAACAGTTAGATAATCCTGATAAAACGATACTTATAAATCTATTTCATATTATCCAATCTAAATCAAGGCAATGATAAATTAACACACACTAAATATGTTAATAATATTTAATTGATTCCGGTTTCCTTTATTGAGACCACATAGAATATAAATGCATTAAACATAATGATGAATCATGCTAAGTTTTCTAATATGTAAATGGATTAGTTAAGAGAGCAAACTGTATCATTTTATTAAATAATGCAAATCTTGTATCTCACTCGCTACTTTTCTGAACATTTTTAATACATCCCTTTATTCTGCCGGGTAATACTTCATGTTTGACATCGTTTGGTCTTCAGTTATTACATTTATCATTTGTGCTGATACTATCAGATTTAACACTTTCGGCTAGCACCTTTTCTGATCTTCATCATATCATATGTATGTTAGTTATTTTAGACTATTCTGAATTCGCATATTGCATTGATGGCTTTTATGTAAATAAGAGGTTTGAAATTTAAAATCAAGATCATATGTTCAGCCCATCAAAAATATTTTAGTTATGTACTTGCAATTCTCTCCTATAAAAAAGGATTCATGTTCGTTTTAATAATTTTAAGACCAGCGAGGCCTTTAAATTATTTCAAAAATCTTGTAAAGTTCAAATTTTCCTACTGAATTTACTGATTGTGCAACATTTAACTTCCAATTTGTATAAATTTCCTGAATACTTGATAAATTAATGAAAATACATATCAATAACCTTATTTTACTTACATAATAGCACTTCTACAAAATCTCAGCCTTATGCAAATGCTTTTTGTCTGGTTTTCACATTTAAAAACTAATATTTATATTCAACTATTTATTATCCCTTTTGCCACCATTTTATGGGACTATTCATTTTCTGATATTTTACTTGACATGACCAACTTTGGCTTTTCCACCTTAAATTTTACAATCTGTATTCAATAGTAGCTATATCAAGCACTTCATCTGCGTCTGCAAATGGATGCGTGCAACTTGTGATGGATTTTTTATCATAATTTCCCTCTAGTCAAATCAAAAAAGTGTAAGTCATGAACTGAAACTTGACCCCATCTTTGGTTCTCTTATTTTCCTGGATTTAATAAGCAACTGCTTCTGGCTCAAATAATAAATCTACTTGCATAATCTATCAGCTATTCAAATGAACCTTAAGAGATATTATTGTAAAAATATCCTCTAAGCTCAATAGGCAGTTGGTTAAATTGAATAAAACCTCTGTATTAAATTAATTTATATAAATAAATGGGAATATCATTATATTTAATGGTGATTCTAAAAATCGCATCTGCCTATATTTACGCTGATACTGGAATTTTTAATGGCTTTGCAACTGCTACAGATTCAACCTTCATTTGCAATTTTGGATTTTCTAGAACAGCCACTATATCATACTCAGATTAATTTGAGAAAATACCCTAAGTGTTTTTTGTACACGAATATTTAGAATCAGAGATGGCTGACATGGGGTTTAGGTTATCGATTACATCAATAACTCAAACATGTACTTAAAAAATATTATATATATAGAATTTACTTTAGAGATTAGTTGTAATAAATAGAGATAATACACACTTAGGATAAGATGGTTTGCTTTTGATGATTAACGTATTGAAGTTATCAGTAACTTCAATATGGATGTTCCAGATGACAAGACATTTTCAATTAAAAATCCAAACGCCTAAACTGGCTTTGTGGCAGTCACAAGTATGCGTTATTTAGGATCTATTGATTTCCTATTATCAGTAATTAATGATCATTATTCTTAGATAAGCCAAATAAAAACTAATTCTGTGACGGTTAGTATAACTAAAACTGCAGGAAAGTTTGCCAATCTGAAATAAATTGGTTACTTTGTAGTTGTCGGAGTAGAGGAAGCATTTATAAATCTAGGATTAAAGACAGCAACAGGAGCATTTAGCAGTGGAACTATTCCGATATAATCAAATCGATGGTTTGCTATAGCTTTATAAGGTCTGGCTTTTGCGAATACTAAAAATCTAAGAATAAGAGCAACATATAGTAACACAGCAACAACAATATCATATACTTGGGGGACATGTAATTATTTATAAGAAATAACTTATAATAGGGGTAGAAATTGAAACTCCGAATAGTCATTCTTAGATTTGGATCGCAAATTAATTTACAACCGTATTCAAACCATTAGAATGCTTTAGCATAAGAATAAGCAGAAAATAGGTTTTGGACTTACTAACATTGCCTACCTTTTATTTAGAATTAGTTTAAACTAATTAAATTTACACTACATATGGAAACTATGAACTTTTAGTTGATAAAACGATCACCCCACTTAAAATGAATCTCTAAATTAAATGCGAAAATGGAATGAAGGTTTAAGCAGATTTTAATAAATGCAATGCTTGTAATACAAAAAAGACTCACTCTTTTACATATAATTGTTTCAATTAAATGAATTATATTGGTTTCTTTCCTCTTTTTTCATAAGCATTTCCACAATATAATTCCTTAAAAATAAAGTTGCAATCATCATTGCTTGAAATTAGTCAAGTTATTTACGATCAAAGCCTTACAGAAACTACGATAGTAAAAATTTAAATCTTAAATTAATGAACAATATTATCATCATATTATTATATCATCTGTTTCATTGACGATTATCTAAAGATTATATTGTTGAGAATTGTGATAATTCCATTCAAAAAATCTGATGTATATTTGTCAGTGTCTATTAGAGATTTTAAATTTATAAATATTTGATTTTACAATAAATTTTAAGAATACTTAATTTAGATAAGAATATATTTAGTTATAGCTCCTTTAAGATTGAATGAGAAGGTTACTCTATTGAGAAGGCTGAAGTATGAATTAACAATCTTTTATATAATAGTTAAGTCATTCCACACTATTTCAATTGCATCATAATTTTTCTACGAATAATCAGATGAGAGATTCAAGTATTTAAGAATGAAAAATGACAAGAACCTCATTTTTTGAGCACATCAAATGATATGAACTTTAAGAAAAATAGGCACTGCTGTAATTTAATTCATTATAAACGTATTTTCTTTGTGGGGGTATATGAACATTAAAATTCTTGTTTCAAAAAATTACTCTTATTAAAACAACAACTTGATTATAAAGTCCAAATTTTATTTCAATATCAATAATACGCTTAAGAATTACAAAAATACGCTTAAGAATTACAAAAATAGATTTAGATTATAAAATGAAAAAGTTTCCAAAAAAGTTCTGTGAAAGGATCTTAATATTAATGTAACATCAATATTATCTTTTTAGCCAACAAACTATTATTGATTGCTTCATTACAGATGACTTAATCATACGTATAATTTTAAGATAGTACAATACATTAAACATTGAATTGAAAATTAATTTTCTCTTCTTTACAACTTAATATCATTGCTAAATTCAAGTTTGGTTCTCTTTTCACTCACTTATCTTGGTCTTATAGATTTCTTCCTGGAACACATAATACCAGTTAATAATTCTTTTATTTTAAGAAGTGGTTATAATCGTATGTCAAGATTAAAGAATTAATTTTCGGCTTGTTCCGCTTGAATTAGCCTAAACTATAGTCAAAAAAATCCAAGTTTTGTGAACTCTAAGATTCGATGACAGAATGTTTATCAAAAAGATATATTATATAAATGTGAAATTGATATATCAATGATCATTATTTTGTTGAATTATATATAAAAAATTAGACTGATTCAAAACAACCAATCATTGTATAGGAAATTGTTCTACTTATTTTATATGATATTAAAATTATACTGAAATAAAACCAAAAAAGGAAGATACAAAAGTGGTAAAATGCTCAATCTTCCTTATTTCAATATAGCTAGTTGTTGGTGAATGGAATTTTAATTTTCATCAGAATTCTATATTGAGTCAAGAAAACAGCAAATATAAATCATAAAAATTTCTTGTAACTTTTAATAACACATAATATTTTTTTATGAAATCAGCTATAATCTGTATGAAATCGTTAATGTAATTAAGAGTGTTTTAGGATTTTCTTAATTATTAGTCAATTTATTTATATATAAATAATTTTAGGCAAAGAAATAAATTCAAATCTGAAATTATTTTATTTATTTTCATCATAGTCCATTTNTATATTTGTCAGTGTCTATTAGAGATTTTAAATTTATAAATATTTGATTTTACAATAAATTTTAAGAATACTTAATTTAGATAAGAATATATTTAGTTATAGCTCCTTTAAGATTGAATGAGAAGGTTACTCTATTGAGAAGGCTGAAGTATGAATTAACAATCTTTTATATAATAGTTAAGTCATTCCACACTATTTCAATTGCATCATAATTTTTCTACGAATAATCAGATGAGAGATTCAAGTATTTAAGAATGAAAAATGACAAGAACCTCATTTTTTGAGCACATCAAATGATATGAACTTTAAGAAAAATAGGCACTGCTGTAATTTAATTCATTATAAACGTATTTTCTTTGTGGGGGTATATGAACATTAAAATTCTTGTTTCAAAAAATTACTCTTATTAAAACAACAACTTGATTATAAAGTCCAAATTTTATTTCAATATCAATAATACGCTTAAGAATTACAAAAATACGCTTAAGAATTACAAAAATAGATTTAGATTATAAAATGAAAAAGTTTCCAAAAAAGTTCTGTGAAAGGATCTTAATATTAATGTAACATCAATATTATCTTTTTAGCCAACAAACTATTATTGATTGCTTCATTACAGATGACTTAATCATACGTATAATTTTAAGATAGTACAATACATTAAACATTGAATTGAAAATTAATTTTCTCTTCTTTACAACTTAATATCATTGCTAAATTCAAGTTTGGTTCTCTTTTCACTCACTTATCTTGGTCTTATAGATTTCTTCCTGGAACACATAATACCAGTTAATAATTCTTTTATTTTAAGAAGTGGTTATAATCGTATGTCAAGATTAAAGAATTAATTTTCGGCTTGTTCCGCTTGAATTAGCCTAAACTATAGTCAAAAAAATCCAAGTTTTGTGAACTCTAAGATTCGATGACAGAATGTTTATCAAAAAGATATATTATATAAATGTGAAATTGATATATCAATGATCATTATTTTGTTGAATTATATATAAAAAATTAGACTGATTCAAAACAACCAATCATTGTATAGGAAATTGTTCTACTTATTTTATATGATATTAAAATTATACTGAAATAAAACCAAAAAAGGAAGATACAAAAGTGGTAAAATGCTCAATCTTCCTTATTTCAATATAGCTAGTTGTTGGTGAATGGAATTTTAATTTTCATCAGAATTCTATATTGAGTCAAGAAAACAGCAAATATAAATCATAAAAATTTCTTGTAACTTTTAATAACACATAATATTTTTTTATGAAATCAGCTATAATCTGTATGAAATCGTTAATGTAATTAAGAGTGTTTTAGGATTTTCTTAATTATTAGTCAATTTATTTATATATAAATAATTTTAGGCAAAGAAATAAATTCAAATCTGAAATTATTTTATTTATTTTCATCATAGTCCATTTGAACAACATTACCTTATAGTTTTTACGTTGAGAATACATCATTCACACGGTTTTGAAACCAACAACCATTTAAGCTACTTTAACTAATTGACAAATCTAAGAAATAATTTATTATCGATAATCAATTTAGCTCAAATTCATTTTCTACCAAATAGTTTTGTAATTGATTTCATTTTTGAGGTTTAATGCTATAATATAATGTTATGCTTAGACGCATTTGGATGCATCTTTGGAGAATTCGAAGGAGTGTAATTCCAACAACAAGGAAACAGAGCATTATTTAGGAAGAAATTATCTAATTCACAAAGCAATTATATGAAAAATAAATTATCAGTCTGTAATCTACAACTGAATAATCATAATTGAGGATTAGGGTAGAAGACATTAATTCTCAAACCTAATTTATTATTTCAATATATAATTTCATGGCAAACTTTCTGATTGTTTTGAATAAATAAAATTGAATTTTTTACTAATCTAATAGTAGTTTTATTATCAGTGAGGTTATTATGATTTATATGTTTATAAAAATATATATATTTAAATCAAATTTTTCCAAATGAAATTTGGAATATAATTGGGAAATTCATAATCTCAAAACGATTTCAATACGTCATCATTCTAAGAAATATAAAGCTAAGCTCCCCCGTAAGTTATCTTTTTATTCGCTTAGAGATATCAAAAAATTTGAACCACAGTCAGAACTAAATCAATATCAAGAACAAGTACATTATTATAATTATATTATAGCAATTTCTTAAAAATTAGTCATTTTAAAACAAAAAATAATATATTTCAAGAGCATTATTGCTCATTCTGATAAAATAAATAATAATTCTGATATTATATCAGTTTTATTACACTGATTTCTTTATACAGAATGTTTACCTTCCCCTAAGTACAAAAACTTTAGGACTAGTGTATATTGCTCTGACTATATTTTATTAATAATTAAATTAAATTTATTGAGTTTTTATCTGTATAATCACCAGGTTTTCATTTTGTTAAGCTGTATAACTATAAGTGATTATTAGACACCTATTGCTTAGATTATATTTATAATTTTTCTATTTTTGGAGCCTTGTGTTATATTATGTGTTTATTTTTTTATGGTAAGAGAGATAGGTAAGAAGTAAATTTGATTTAGGTATAATTGGATATTACATAATGATGTTGCGATTTTTTTGTAGTATTTTTTAGGTGCTAGTTGTCTAACTTTATATTTGTTTTGAAAAATAAGCCATTTAATACAAAAGTAAATTCAAATTATGTTTTAGAGGCTCTTATAATGTTCGGAATAGCAGCTTGTATTTACAATTTAATAATTTTGGTTGGAGAGGGTGAAATAAATTTTGTTACAATTCTTGTTTTGTCAATTTCGATCATCATTATGGCTATATCAGGATTAATTTTTATATATGTTTTAAATTAAATCTTTGAAGGGAGAGTAAGGCTGTATAATATTATGAATAGTTTTCTGTAAAGGTCAACCAAGTTTTTGGAATGGCGAACGTTTTTAATTTCGGACTTTTGTTCCCTTGTAACTTTTGAATAATTCCAAGTTATGATAAATTTTTACAACATTATATAAAAATATAGAATTAATTTAAGGAAAAAAATTTTGTTAATTTAATATTTTAAGAAGCAATTTGAAAAAGACTTTTTTAATTTAATTCTAATGAAACCATATTTTTGGGGATGTTTAAACAATTTTATTGATAGATTCTATTCTTGGATGACTAAATGAGTTTAAAGCCTTGTTAAAGTAAAGGCAAATATATCAAAAACAAAGTGCACCCAAACTGTAAAACAATAAAATTAGGAAGCTTTTAATTTAATTACAAAAATTTTATGAAAAGATAGAAACTTAATTAAGTGTAAAATCAAAATGATGAGGAGAAAAACTACAACAAAAAATAACTTGAATATTTTGAACTAATAGGCCTAAATTTAAAAAGGACTGAAGTAAAACCAATTAAAAACTTAAGCTTATTAATTAATAGTCTCCATAAACCTTATATAAGGCTTAAAAATGAATAAAATACATTTGTCTTACTCCGATCTTTAATCATAAAAATTAGATTTACGATGCACAAATAATTTTATCCTTATCCTATAGAATAAATAGGATTATTTTGAAATATTATTTCATCCTTGTTAATAAATTTTCCAATCATAATTTCAGAATATGTTTATAAATGAGTATTGAATTGACTATAGTATTATCTTTTTTAATTGATTTATTATCCATTGCATTATTTTTTATAATAAATTAGCCAATATTTTTAATAAATTGAGTCTTTTTTTTACATTAATCATATTGTATAAAGGCAATTTAGGGTATTTGATTTCAGANTATAATCACCAGGTTTTCATTTTGTTAAGCTGTATAACTATAAGTGATTATTAGACACCTATTGCTTAGATTATATTTATAATTTTTCTATTTTTGGAGCCTTGTGTTATATTATGTGTTTATTTTTTTATGGTAAGAGAGATAGGTAAGAAGTAAATTTGATTTAGGTATAATTGGATATTACATAATGATGTTGCGATTTTTTTGTAGTATTTTTTAGGTGCTAGTTGTCTAACTTTATATTTGTTTTGAAAAATAAGCCATTTAATACAAAAGTAAATTCAAATTATGTTTTAGAGGCTCTTATAATGTTCGGAATAGCAGCTTGTATTTACAATTTAATAATTTTGGTTGGAGAGGGTGAAATAAATTTTGTTACAATTCTTGTTTTGTCAATTTCGATCATCATTATGGCTATATCAGGATTAATTTTTATATATGTTTTAAATTAAATCTTTGAAGGGAGAGTAAGGCTGTATAATATTATGAATAGTTTTCTGTAAAGGTCAACCAAGTTTTTGGAATGGCGAACGTTTTTAATTTCGGACTTTTGTTCCCTTGTAACTTTTGAATAATTCCAAGTTATGATAAATTTTTACAACATTATATAAAAATATAGAATTAATTTAAGGAAAAAAATTTTGTTAATTTAATATTTTAAGAAGCAATTTGAAAAAGACTTTTTTAATTTAATTCTAATGAAACCATATTTTTGGGGATGTTTAAACAATTTTATTGATAGATTCTATTCTTGGATGACTAAATGAGTTTAAAGCCTTGTTAAAGTAAAGGCAAATATATCAAAAACAAAGTGCACCCAAACTGTAAAACAATAAAATTAGGAAGCTTTTAATTTAATTACAAAAATTTTATGAAAAGATAGAAACTTAATTAAGTGTAAAATCAAAATGATGAGGAGAAAAACTACAACAAAAAATAACTTGAATATTTTGAACTAATAGGCCTAAATTTAAAAAGGACTGAAGTAAAACCAATTAAAAACTTAAGCTTATTAATTAATAGTCTCCATAAACCTTATATAAGGCTTAAAAATGAATAAAATACATTTGTCTTACTCCGATCTTTAATCATAAAAATTAGATTTACGATGCACAAATAATTTTATCCTTATCCTATAGAATAAATAGGATTATTTTGAAATATTATTTCATCCTTGTTAATAAATTTTCCAATCATAATTTCAGAATATGTTTATAAATGAGTATTGAATTGACTATAGTATTATCTTTTTTAATTGATTTATTATCCATTGCATTATTTTTTATAATAAATTAGCCAATATTTTTAATAAATTGAGTCTTTTTTTTACATTAATCATATTGTATAAAGGCAATTTAGGGTATTTGATTTCAGATTTAAAGAATAGTGAAAAATTTTGATAAATAATAAAGTTTAATATATATTCGTTAATTAATTTATATTTACTTAGTGAAAAAAGGACTTAAAAGTTAACATAGACTAGTGACTTTAAAAAATCAATTATAAATGTAATTTTTGTTGATTTTACCTTTTGTGTCTTCATTTTCCATCAAGATGGATGATGATTTATCTGGTGCTATTACAAAATACACTTTAGATGTTTAATTATCAATCGACACATATAATTAAATTTTGATGATATTCCCCTAAAGTTATGAATTAAACGAACTAATGCAAATTTATTGTTGGTGTAATGATAATAAGTTTCAAGCAAAAATAAAAGATAACTAAATTTTAATGTTTGGTAATTTTATTCCCTCTTATACTTTGAATATTACTTTGGAAAATATTGAAAATGGTTATTATTCTTTTAATTAGGATAAGGAGTATATCTTAGAATTTTATTAGGATGAAAACTTAGTAGAGAGATAAACCTGCCATTACGCTCTAGCTTATTAGCAATAGTTGAGCATACAAGGAAGATATGAAAACTATTCCACTTTTGTTAAAACCACTTTATATTTTGAAATTAATTTTCTATTTCGAGTAAGAGCAGGGACTATTTTTGATATCACCTTTCCAATTATTAATATAGGAGCAACTACGATTGTATCAATGCTAACATAAGATACCTTCCCTCTTTTCTAAAACACTAATTTGGATTTTGTAATTAATCTTGCAGAAAATAAATTAACAATTTACAACCTATTTTAAAAATAATATCTTCCTGGTAATTCAATACTCCTTTAAATTAATAATATTTATACAAATAATTAATAACTGGATGGAGATTCTTTTTTGATACTTTATAAGACTACCTATAAAGGTCTTAGTATTGCTGAGGGTAAATTCTAGTAAAGCGAAATAAAAAGTGTTAGCCAATCTAAGGAATTTATATTAGAAAGTTCAAATTAATTTGTTTCACAATATACCTAATTATACTTTTCATTCGTGCCTAGATTGGCCTACCGCCAAGGAAGTCAAATTTATATCAAATTCTTAAATCTGTAATCGTAATCCTAAAGTAAATTTTAATTTAAATTTAGTATCACAAACTAAATTTTTACCAAAACAAAACATTAACCCAAGTTATGAATTCTCTATTGAAAATGAAGGTATCGTAATCAAAAATTTCAACCAATTCTATGAATCTATGAGATTTCAATTTTATCTCTAAGAAATTATGAATCCAACTGGGTTATCTACATTCAATATTGGATTCTATGTACTAACGCCTGAGAGAAATTAGATTGAATATTAAGAACATTAGATTGAAATACTTCCATAACCTATATCCTAAATCTCAATTGAAGCTACTAATACTACAGTTTTTGCCAGAACCGACATTGTTATTAAATTTGAATTAAAAAATGTTTAAACAAAATCAACTACCCTGACAGTTAAGATTCCCAGATAAATTCAAATAATTCGAGATTCTGTTTTTATACAGCCTGACTAATAGTAGGATATAGAGATAAATGGATAAGAACTAATATTTAAGAACTTTTTTAATACTCATCAAATTATGAATTAAATTGAAATAACTTTTATTGGAAAACTTTAAGGAACAGCTGGGATAACTGATGATTTTTTAATTTTCACAAATGATTTATCAGGCGCTTTAATAAGTCTATTAAAAAAACCTGCTTACTTAACAATTCAACCATCAAAATACCTCTTCATATCTTTGAATCCACAAATTTATGTTACTGATTATCTTACAAATTATTTGATTAAATTTTAAATACCACAAGTTTAAGAATAGAGTGTTTTGATCGTGGAATTGCCAATCTATTTTAAATAGTAACTCTGTTTTTGTTCTGCACAAATTGAAACAAATCAATAAATTTGTGAAGTTGGGAATGATAAAAATATCACAGTTACTTTGTTTGTTGGTGGAATCTTAGAAATTATTATTTATAACATCAAAACAGAGAGAAGTATTTAGTAGTATAGTTACTAGGTAATTGGAGAAATTAAATATCAATAATAGATTCAATCGATCCAATAAAATCAATTAGGATCCTATAATATTCTATTTCCTTAAACATTTTATGATTACTCTTTAAAATCTTCAAACTCATTTTACGGTGAATTAACTACACTGTAATTTTCTTTCAATTTATTGAGCACTATCTAACAGAACGATCTGCTATAAATTAGTTTCCCTATAAATATTGAAAAATTCTTGAGTTGTTCAAATATTATTGAGAAATAGATTGGTTAATAAATTTATCTCAAATAATTATAAAATGGTACTAATACATTGCTTTGCGAATTGTTTAATCCTATAGATGATGTTCAAATTTACCCATTTTAATTTACTATATTTACAGACGGAGGAGAGATAATAGCTTAGTATTAAGATGCGTTTGGTATAAGGGATGAATTAAGAGCCAATAAGATTGATTTTTCTATTAAATAATAGTCATTTTTCTTGAATGAAGAAACAAATATTACACTAAATTTTCATACAAATTTAGGAGTGTAATAATACGGTAAAATAAAAGCAATATTTTAACTCTCTCAAATTGTTGTTTTAGATTTTAAATGTATCCTCTAAATAAACTAAACCCAAGAATTAGAATATGATGAAGTTTTGTGTGAATCATACTTAGAGAATGAAAATTTGATTGTTATCACAAACTTTGTAAATTCTATTTAGTCAAACGTTTATCAGTTAATATTCTCCGGATTAACTTTTGTAGGAAATATTAGTAATTATGAAACAAATATAACACTTTAAAATATTAACTAATTTGGAAAAATTATTGAGGAATCTTAGAGAATTTGGAATTTTTCAATCAATTGCTCTGAAAATTGTAAAATTTGTGATAAAAAGTACAACCAATGTATTAAATGTAAGGAAGGGTTTATTTAATTTTAAAATATTTGTATCGAGAAATGTCCTGCAAATATGATTTTAACTTCTCAGGGCTGCAAAAAATGTCTAACAGATGCTAATTGTTTATAATGTGATTATTAGAATATTACTTAGTGCATCAAATGCATTAATCAATTTTAATTAAAAAATGGATATTGCCTAAAATTAAGCAATAGTTCAAACTCAGATTCAGATAATCATGTAAATTAGAATAGCAGTAACAATCCTAATTAAAATGATTAAAGCATTTCTAATATTCATAGTAGATAAGGCGAAATCTATGATGGAGCACCAATCTTTATCATTATTATGGTTGGGATGCTTGCGGCTGTAATACTCAATAAGATTATCAAGCGAAAAGATGCATTGATAATAAAAACATATTATATATGTATTAGTTTGCTTGATATACCATTAGCCATCACCAGATTTATAAGGTATTATATAACTAATTTTAGATTTACTTTATTATAATTTCCAGGCTATTATATATTATCATTATCATGCTTAGCGGTGACTTTTTTTGTTTAAATCTTGAATAGTTCTTAATTAGAATTATTAAAGAAAACTAATCTATGCTTTTTTAAATACATTTCAACTAATAAACTTAAGAAATAATTAGCTACTTTGTTTCAATGGAGAATTATTTTATCAATTTTACCTAATTAAATTGAAACAAAAGTACTAAATGAAATAAAAAAATTGTTTCATAATTAAGCAATTTCACAAATACTTCCGATTATAGTTTAAATTTCATTTATGTGCAATTAGAATTAATTTTATCTCTTTTCTCTAGATGATATTGTTTACAATATAATTATGATCGCTCTGTCCAGCACAAATAATCTTTGGTTAATCCTGGAAATTAAAAACCAAAATCAAATTCATCCTGAATTAAAGGATTAAAGCATGTGCGTATAAGGACAATAACAAGCATTCAGGGAAGAAGATTAAGTAAATAATGATGATATCATTTACTACAGAAACTAACCAAAAATTAATGAACAAAAAGAAAATGAATAGGAATTTAAATGAATTACATAGAATAACTTTAAAATATAATTTATACATTTCATTCTATTTTTGAATATATATCATAGCTATTTTGGTCGAATATCACTCTGATTTATAAAGAACAACTTGGACATTATGCTATTTCGAATTTGTTTTTAATTTATTCCTAATGCTCTCATATAATATATACTAAAGTTATTTAAAATCTGTCTCCACAAGGACAAGGGTAATAAAATATCTTTGTACTAGGATCGAAATCCATATCCTCAATCTCAACTTCATCATAGACACTCATTATTTTTTATAATTATTTATTCTTTTTTATATTTAGGGGAAATAAAGCTATCGAAATTAGTATTAATAAAAAGAGATAGATGAAAATCTGTAAACGTAAGATAGTTTGATGTCGCAAGTTGTTTTAGTTTATATTATAAGAAGAATCAGAAAAAGACATAATAAATACAGCATTTGTTGTTTAAGAATTATATTAGTGATTTCCAAAAGGAATCTTTTGAACGAAGCCTTAATAAACGATTCAAATGAATGACTTATTAATTCTAAGATAGTTAAAAATGTTGAATTAGAATAAATGCCTGATTGTAAATCTAAATCAATAATGATAATATCCAATTAATTTTACAGGTCATCTAACTTAGAATGAATTTTAATATATTCCACATTATCAGAATGCTCGAATTATTAGGGACAACGTAACAATACCCCTTATGAAGAAAATACAATCTTTTATCAATGAAATCAAAAATACTTATTTTTTAGAGCAACTATAATAATCTGTAATTTCAAATCTAATCAACCCTTCCTTTATACCGAACAATAGGTAGTTCACTTCATCTTATAATTAATGAAATGGAAATTAAGTGGCTAATTTGATATTTTAAAAAACCTTTAAATTTTTAACAGCAAGACAAAGGAAAACAATTAATTATAGTGATTAAATTACTACAAATATTTAAATGTTAGAATTCAATATACAGTAACTGATTTCTCTTTATATTTCAAATTTTAACATTAGATGATTTTTCCTTTTGAAAATCTTGCTTACATGATTAAATCCTTATTAAAATATGCTAATCCAATCCCACAGTATTAATCTTAATTGAATTCTCCATCAAATATAAGTTCTAAATTACTCTGTTATTCTTTGTATAGTTTTCCTTTACCTTATTTTTATGAGTTCTCAAAATTTCCTTAGTAGACATAATTAAATAATTAATGATTACTATTATTATAATAAGTTCTAACTCCATATCCAATAATTTTATTTTTGCTTATTAAACCAATATGTTTTTACTACTTTATGAAATGTTGATTTACGATTTTGAACCACTCCAATACACTTTCTCCTTCCTTAGTTTGATCATCATTTAATTTACCTTAGAAAATTTATATTTATCCTTTATTATTTAGTTCAATCATTATACATTACAAAATGATGCTACTTTCGAAAATTCCAAATATTAATTTCCAGTTTTTTTATTTAATATATTTGATTCCTATCCCATGTGGGAGATTATCCTTTTAATATCCTTAGTAAATAAATTATTTATTTGATATCTTTAATATTTAGCTTTTATAATTAATTAAATGAGATAAAGAATGATTAAGCTTTAACTCATAATCCATATGAATTTAGCTTTCGTTAAAAAATTATTTCAAAACATCATTTTACATAAATTCCTCATCCCAAAATAATTTGATAATAGTGGCTAGATTTAATTAGTTAGCCTTATTATTTAAAAATGAATCTTGAATGTTATTTTAATTTATATATGATTGTTACATAGAGATTTCTTAATATTGGTTTTTTTCTAAAGAAAATTGATTATCTCTTATGCAATTAACATGCTAAATTTTTTCATATTTGGTTTTCTCATTTAAATGCATCTCTTTAAGCTAATTTTGATTAAGCATAATAACATTTGATGGATCTTTTAGAAAAAATGTAAATTAGTTATCGTTCAAGTTATCTGAAGAATGCAAAAATTACATCTTATCTAACTTCTCATCATCAATACTTTTCTTACTGTTATTAGGAGCCGTTGTCAAGATATTATTGGAGTTCATTTAATAATCAACTTATTCTTTTTCTTTCATTTTGATTTCAGCAATTGATACATAATAATAATTATTTGTCACTGCAATCCTTTGAGCAGTTGATTTCCTTTCTGTATTATCATTTAGTGGGTCTAACCTCATTATTAAAGGTTTTATTTTCGAAACAGAAGTTTTAAATGAGGATGTTATTTCAATTAATGTATTATATGCGACATTTAATCCTAACCTTTATTCTATTAATTTATTACAAAATATATATAATTGTGGAAATTGATTTCTTACTTATTTCAGCAACTCTTTTATTCTGTATGAATTAAAACTAAAAAAGTCTTCATAATTTTTAATTTTTATGTCAAATTGTTTTGTGATAATTTAACAAATTATTAAGCTTAATGACCATTCGTCATTTTTTTGAAAAATTGAATTTTATAGCAATTCATCTTACACAATTTCTTAAAATGATAAATCTTACTCATCAAAATTATCCATCATTTTAATTTTTAACATTGAAGCAGATTAATAGAAATGATATTGATGCTTTTGTTCTTCAGAACATTTTTATGAATAATAATAATTGTGTATTACTCTGGAACTACCAAAGTCAGTTAGCTTAATAAATCCGTTTACATATATCAAATTTTTTGGTGTTATATTTAAATGAAAAATCTTTCTGCGTTATAATTCAATTCCTATAAGTAAGATCTAATAGATGATGTTTATCTACTTTTCTTGACTTATTGTATTATTTTTTATGTATAATTCTAAATTTTAACAATTACTCATGTTTTCATAAATTATCCAAACTCTATACATTTACTTTTAGAATTCCTCAACCCAATTCTAAATTTTGAGAAACGAATTTGGTTTACATTCGTTTAGAATATTTTAAAGCTCAATCTCTTATACAAAATGCTCTCTCCATGATTTCCATTCATTTTCTGTAAATGTTTATTCTTTTATCATTTATCCTTACTTTGATACAGATATTGATGAAGATGATCCCTTTTAGTTTATTGTTGGTTTTATTGGAAAGTATATATTCACAAATTAATCATAATTTAATTACATAGTGAAAGCATAAATCTGAATCAATTCTTAAAGATATTGTTTTTTTCTATTTAGATTTTATCCTATTATCAAGAAGATTTAAGTCTCATAATCCCTCAGTCATCAAGAATTATTGAAAATAGATTTTTTCAACTTTACAATAAAATGAATTTCTTTGACTAGGCTCAATAATTGTTGTACCAGAAACATTAGTCAAAAATACGAAAAAATGCTATTTATTTTGAAGATTCCTTTGTATTTATGTTGTTATAAATTGCAATTCTTTAAGATATTGATGATTTATTTTTGAAAACTTTTTAAAAACATCTAAATTCTATTTGAAAAAAAACAATAAAACCTAGATATATATTAGAACAAAAATTCATTTTTTCTCTAATCTCTTTTACAACAACAGATCAGTTACTAATTGGTGATAATAATGGGCTAGCATGATGCTGTAGTGTTGATGAATCGAGAAAAGATGAAGGTTACAAATGCTACAATTATCAAAGGGCTCCTAGACTTTATTAGTTCCTATTTTATATTGACTATTAAGCAAGAAGAGAAGGTTCGGCTAAAATCTATGGATGCAGGGAGAAATGAAAGTAAGAATGTATCTAAATTTTTTGGCATTTAATTTATCAGAAACCTCTTGGATAGCTTTGGGATGATTAGTTATAGACTTTCTGCAAAGATGAGAAATGGTGAGACTTCAAGAGGATGTAGTGGAAACATTTTCAGTTTATTATGAATTGAAGGTTGAATAGAATCTTTGACATTTAAGAATGAATGGATATAAATTAATTCATTAACAATCTAGCTTAGTTATGTAAATGGGAAGAAATTATGGCACTTCTAGTATGAATGAAAACAGATATATTGGTATAAAGTATTTCTTGATATTAGTATTTTGATAAAATGTATATTTAAATAGTATATTAAATAATTAATTACGTGTAATTATGATTTAATTATACCTTGCATTTCTATTTCTAGGTGTAACCCAATCTGCGTATATAATTGATTCTGCTGTTGATCAAGTATTTTGGTGTGGAGGGTCAATTATTGTTACGTCCGATGATGATGTAGTGGAGTAGAAAAATGAGGCTAAACAACATAGGAAAATATTATTTGTTCACTCAAACAAGGGAATTGCTTATAGATCGGTTGATTACGGATAAAAATGGGAAAATGTTACATAATAATTAATAGATTAGTAAAAATTAGATAGCAATTATAAATTTAAAGACATCATTTAATCTCCTGCAGATTCTTTTACCATGTACTTCATAGGATATAATCAATCTTTCATCAGTCAAGATTGTGGGAGAACTTACAGAACATTTAATGATAATAGACTTTATGGCTTTAGATTTAATAAATTAAATAAGGATTAAATATTAGCATTCCAAGAAAAGAAATGCAATAAAACAGACAAGAGCTGCAAAGAACAATATAAGAGGGAGCTTTGGGTGACAAACAATGGAGGTTAAATATGGTAACCAGTGTTGGATCATGTTAGAGATGCAGCATGGGATAAATTAATTCACTATGAAATGGTACCAGATATGAGAATAATCGTATCTCATGTTGATAATCAAGGGGAATTGAAGGTTTCTTATTCAGATGACTTTTTTAAAACCATCAAGTAGATAGAAAAGGATTGTTTTGGATTTTACTAGACACCAACTTATCTATTTTTACTAGTGAGACCTGACTAATATAGTGTGGGATATGACTTAAAAATGTCTCCTCATTTGGGTGAAACCTATTTCCCTTAAGAAATAGTATTGCCAATTGATGACTAAAGCAAACACACATTCACTGTTTTGGATGTGACTGATAGTATAGTCTACATGTCAGTTGCACATGCTGAAGAATTATCAAAAGTCACTAATATTTACATGAGTGATGGCAATGAATTCACTGTGTCACTGTTGGGAAATGTTAGAAGTCAAGACACTGGACATTGTGACTTTGAGAAAATCAAAAGTATGAAAGGTGTTTACATTGCTAATATTTTTGATTATGACGAAATCGAAAAGACAAAATCAAGAAGAAAAAGAATCAACTCAGAAAGGGAAATGAAACTTTAAAGTTCAGACAGATTAGACTAATATAAAAAATCCGTTATTACTTTTGATTTGGGAGCTGAATGGCATTCATTGAAGGCTCCAAAATATTCATATGCTGGACAGCCTTTAAATTGTAATGGAGATTGCAGTCTTCATTTGAAAGGGAGAACAGAAACAACATCTTTAATCTATAGTAGCGAACAGGCAGTAGGAATAATTATTGGAACAGGGAACACAGGACTATATCTTGATGGTCAAGAGACTAACACTTATTTATCAAGAGACGGAGGTCACAATTGGTATGAGATATTAAATGGAACTTATATTTATGAGATAGGAGATCATGGTGGACTTATAGTATTTGCAGAATCAGAGTCCTACACAAATGTGGCTAAATTTACCTAAGATGAAGGCATGACCTTTTAAGATATCAAATTAAATATCTCATTGGATATTGATAATATTGTTACCGAACCATCAAACGAGGAATAGAAGTTCTTGATTTATGGCAGAATAAAACAATCAGATAATCCTTAAGAAGATTTTTGGAATAAATATGAATCGATAATTGGGGTCTTAATTCCCATTGATCTTTCCAATGTATACCAAAGAGTCTGCAAAGGTAGTGAAAATCCTGAGGACCCAGATTCCGATTATGAATATTGGTCTCCATAGAATTATCAATAATAGAAATGTTTGTTCGGTTAAAAGGTGAAGTATTAGAGGAAAAAAAGGGAAGCTAAATGCAAGAACCCAGAAATAGTGAAGAAATTGCTAGTAGAAAATTGCCCCTGTACAGCTGAAGATTGGGAATGTGATTTAGGATTTATGAGGAAAATAGATGGTGGTGAGTGTGTTCCAATGACGTATGGATTTTCATCCTAGCCACCTCCAATCAAATGTACAGGAACATATATGAAATCATAAGGCTATAGGAAAATCCCTGGAGATGAATGTGAAGGAGGGTAAAAATAAAGATAAATAATAGAGTTTATTTAGGGCCAATTGAATAGGAATGCCCAACAGAAAAAACAAACATCTAGGTGAATCAAATTATTACTGATAAACCAATTGTGAAAAACGATTAGAAAAAGTAAGACAATCTAGACTCGCAAAGTCCAAACTATCAAAGTCAAACAGGATTATAATCTAAACCCTTTAACATTTTAGATTATGCTGAGTACATAATCCTTTCAATAATGATCGTAACCCTTTTGTATTTAAGAAACTTAATATGGGGTGTCGTTAAGCAAATATTCTCAGCTTCTTAAGTTAATAAAAACAGAAGTAAATATGATGTATTATACAAGAAAAGCGAAGCTATTATCCTCCCTCTGAGGAAGAATTGTAAGAGAAAAAATAAACAAGCAAAAAAAGACTATTTGGTATTTAGTCAACCAAAGATGAAGATGAAGAAGCAGGATTGTGAAATAATTATAATATATTTCTTCTATAAATAATACAGATGTAATTTAAGAATTTTCGTTCTGTTTTATGTTACTATTATTTATTTTATACTAAATGTAATAATTAATCTCTCAAGGTGCAGAAGCCAGGATTTACAAAATTTAGTTTTTGGGTGATTAGGCCATTTTAAAGGAGAGATTATCAAAATAATATCGATTGAAACAACTAGATGACAGAATTACTACTGAGAGAGTTAAAACTGTACGAAATATCACTTAATTAGGAATCAAGATTGTTGTGTAAGGCTAGATAGTTAGGAGTTAATGTTCCACACTTATATTATGTCGACAATAACTAGATAATTATGATGTTTATAGATGGGGTTAAACTAAAAGATTATTTGAATGCTTTAGAAAAGGAGTAAAAAGCAAATGAGATCTAGCAAATCCTAATTTTAGTTGCTCAAGATATTGCGAAATTGCACAATGGAGGGATTATTCATGGGGATTTGACCACTTCGAATATTTTGGTTTAGAATTCAAAACCATACTTTATTGATTTCGGATTGAGTTATACTAAGGTTGGATTTGTAGAGGATTATGCTGTTGATTTATATGTGCTGGAAAAAGCCTTTCTGAGCACTCATCCTACGTTGGAAGATGCATTCTAAATTTTATTAGAGGAGTACAAAAAATTATCGACGAAAGGGTAGCAAGTAATTGACAAGTTAAGGGAGGTTAGACAAAGAGGAAGAAAGAAGGTAGCATTTGGATGATATGATTGAGTTCAATAAAGGTTTATTAATAATTGATTACAAGTAATAATTATAAATTATATTTTGCATAATGTCAATATATGGTGGATTTGCTACAAGATAACTTGAATCTCAATATAACCAATTACTTCAACTACTTTTAGTCACTCTAAGCAAAAGGTTATTAAAATTTTATAATAATGAAGAATGCAATGAAGTTGGTTTCAAAAAAGCAATCTCTTCTACTGTTGGAGGAATGAAATAGCTCGAGTTAAGGTATAAAATTAAATATAGTAGCAAATATTTAGAGCCAAAGTTTTCTGAAAGCATCAAACCCTTAGAGGATTACTTATACAAACCGAAAGAATATTTAAAACAAACTCAACTCATTTTAAAAAACAATTTTTCGTAGGGTTCAGATATTAGTATGATTCGTTAAAATGAATAAATCATCACTCCTATCTCTTCCACAAAATAAAGAAAGAGACTACATAGCATCAGTTTGACAAAAAGAAAAGAAATTGAATTTCGATAGTAATTGTTACAGTTGGAAGAGGAATAACATCCTACTAATTATTTTATTAGAACAAGAAAATAATTGTGAATTTATTAAACATTGATTTTAATTTAATTACATAAACATAATTTATTTATTGAATGATTTCTGAAACTATTTTAGAAAAACTAAAACCCAGCAATTCCCAAATAGTCAAACCAACAGAAAAGACACTAACCAAATTAACAAAAAGCTAAAATAGTTTAAAGAGATATGATAAAGATGAAAAACACTCAGATGATCTTGTAAAATTTAAAGAAACTCTCTTATCAATAAATGCATCTTAGAAATCAGAAATTAATTCAAGCAGAGAGCCTAAATACGGCAAAAGAGTCTTATTAAAATCACTCAAAGGAGGTCCTTTGATCCCTATGCCAAAAAATGGAGCAAATAGACACGAAACACCTCCTTTGATTACTTAATCCTTGCCCTAACTAAAATTAAAAACACTAGGAAATCTCTAGCAAAGATAGATTTCAAGTTTGACAGAGAAAAACCAAAATCTCTCTAAATCATTACTAAACAATCCATAAATGATACAGGAAACGGAATAATCACTTTAATCGGATAATAGGTCGATGCTTTATAAAAAAGAGCCTTATCAAATTGTTTAATCTAAATAACCATAGGAGAGCAAGAATGAGCAAATTGTCGAACAATTAGAGTTGGAATCTGAAATTGCTTAAAACAAACAGAAACCCATTCAATAAGCATAAGAGGAACATCAAGAGGAAGAGTAATAATCATAATAAGTAAGTGAATAGGAACATATTTAATGTTTGGTGGAATAACATTTATCAGAACAAGAAGAATTTGTAAAGCATTTAGCTGGTAATTAGGTAATATACTAAAATTAGGAAAATGTATTTGCGTATAATGCCCATGTGGTAGATGTAAGTGCAAATTTCAATATAAACCCTTTGCCACAAATTTATGTTGGAATTCGAATTACAGATCAAGTTACAAAGAAAATCCCATTAAAGAACAGGATCTAAAGGTTGATTTAGAATAATTTAAAAAATTCAAATCAGTAGAGTCGTGTGAATATAAAACTACAATGGGATCTGATTTCAAATCCTATCAAATTATTCCACCAGAACAAAGGGTAGCTAAAACATACAAGCCATCTCTTGGTACCACACCAATGACATCATATAAAGTATTATATTGTTGATCTTAGAATTTCTATATGAATTACGGCGATCTTCATTATGAATAATTTAAGTAAAGTCATTACAAGACTGTAATACCGGAATTGCCGTTCAATCCCAATACAACTTACAAACAAAGTTTCAAGATGTAGCAATTATAAGATAATGGAGTATTTATGCAAATTATGTCTAGTACACTAAACCGCCCAATGGCAAGCCATTTCCAACTATTGATTTATTTTTAGGGTAGTCGCAGAATAAATAAGCATATCAACCAAAATAAGTTGAAAAGGCTAAGGCTATTGATTAGCATGGTGAAATTATGTAGGTTCCAGCCTATTAAGGATAATACACTAGCGTAACACATAATGATTATGTAAAAAAAGAAATCTTATGCGAAAAATATAAATGATGAAATATTATCATAAAAATTAATATTTATATCAAAATATAGATTATGAAGAAAGGACCAAAATTTATCAAATACGTAGTCAATAGTGGAGACAGAGGAAAGGCCAAAAGTTGTTAAATCTGTAATCAGTCTTTTTCTGCACTTTCGGCTAAAGAGCATCAATGTAAAAGGTAAATTACTTTATATATGCTTACTAAGATGCAAAAGGGCAGTGTGTGAAAAATGTTCTCCGTACAAAGCTTTCACGATCATTGATGGTGTTCCCTCTAAGACTGCACATAGATAATGCTATGTTTGCAAAGAGGAAAGCGAATCTTTAAAAAAGTTTATTCAGCAATACAAAATTGTATTCATGGAAGATACATATTCAAAGGAATGGCTGAAATCGTTTGGAAGCAGCGTTGAACAAGCAAACCTAGTATTTATATCTAATTATTCAGGATTTTGATTAATCGTAAAGAGAAGAGAGCAATTTAAGAAATAAAGAAGAAAGTGTGAAAATGAAGAGTGAGCTTCCATAAGTATTTTAGGAGATTGTTCACTTTAAAAATTATTCATTATCAGAATTTTTCTATTTAGTGATAAAGGATTTTAACATCACATTGATTTTGGATTCCATTAATCGAGTCCTTGGAACATTTTTGAAAATTTACCCAGAAGTAGGTTATGCTCCAGATTAAGTCTTCACAACTTTATTTCTGTTGTGTTTTTGCAGCGAAGCCTCTGCATATTAAATTTTGGTCTTTATGTATTCCCTAATTATTCCGCATTATACATACCCTTTGAGTTTGAGAAAGGAGAAGTGCGAATTCTTCACAGAAATAGATAAGACTATGTAAGTATTGACTTAGGCTTACAAAATCAGCTCCCAAGATTCACCTTATGTTAAAACATTTTTAAGATATAGATTGGTTCGTTATATATAATCTTTCACCATAAATTTCTTTTTATTTGAAACTACCTTTTTTATCATTAATTAACTGTTTTTGCAACCCTAAACTGGTTATGATGATTTAACTAAATATCTGGCAACCGCTTACAATGGATATATATAGATATTTCGCTAATAATCTTAAGATGAAATAGAATTGATATTATTAAGAAATGTTCGTTCCGTAAAAATCTAAGATGGATATTTCTTGACTAAATAAGTTGATTTCTCCAAAGTCATTCCAGCGGTCTAAAAATCTAATAGCAATATTTCAGCTAGGCAACCATCATTCTTACAAGATGGTGACTAAGGGACAGGCATAAAACAACAAGATTAAATTATTATTTTGAGGACTGAGGTTGAAAGATAATAAAAAGTTATTTAAGAATAACAAAGCAAAATAGAAAAGTAAAAATTGGAGATAGAAAACTTAGAATTGAAATTACAACAAACCTAATAAGTGATATCTTTGTATAAGTCTCCAGGAAAGGACATCAATTTGGATTAATACATTTCTCAATAGGATGAAGAATTGCAAAATCTGAGAAGAGTTACATAATAACAAAAGTAAAACAATTTTGATTTAGAAAAATAATAATTGTAGGCCTATATCAAAAAATTGGAGTCTTAAGTTTTTATTGAGTATAAGGCAAATATCCAATTAAAAGAACAATTAGAATAATCCTAATTAACCAAAAGTCAAGCATCTACAGCTAGCCAAGATTAGTACGAATATGAGATTTTAGAAAAAAATTTATAAAAGTACAAAAGAAAATATGAAAAATTAAAGGCTAAATAATCAAGTTCGGATTAAAATTAATAAAGATCGAAAAAGGATGAAATTGCAATAGCTGAATTAGAAGCAAAATTGCAATTAAAAGAAAAATAGATTTCAGAATTAGAATTAAAGTTGAATAAAAACAAATTCGATACGACGGCTAAAATAGTTGAATTAGAAAGTTCAATAGAACAATTAGAAAAACAAAATAAGTTATACAAGAAGTCTATTTAAGATATTGAAGTCAGATAATCAAGTTTATATAAACAGGATAATGGATTAGTTTAATAGCTATAGAGATAAATCACAGATTCATAGAATGAATCTAATTTTCAATTGAGACAAGTCCAAGAAAGGTTTAATCAATAAATACAATAGTTGCAATAACAAATATAAAAGGAATAAAAAGCAAAATTTTTGGCTGAATCATAACTCAAAGATCTAACAATTAAACTAGAAATCTAAGAAAAACAATAAAAATAGGTGACAGCATCAATACAAAATTCTAATCAAGATATAAGCAATGGGGCAGAACTTCAGAAAGAATTGTAGCGGCTCTAAGCATAATTAAAGGAGTAGGAGGAAAGATATTAATAATTAAAATCAAAACATTATGCTCACTTATAAATGATGATTCAAGTAGAAAAAGATAAATTAATTAATCCAGAAATCCAACTCAGTCTGATAAATAGTCAAGAAAAAGAGTTAACAGTATTGTAAGAAAAACTTGAGAAAAAGAAAATAAAGATTAAATAGTTAAAGTAAAAGGAAAAAGCTTGGATGAAAATTAATTAAGACAATGTTGTTAAAATTAATTAAACAACTGACGGTAAATAAATAGGAGAATTATTGACTAAAACAATTGTGCTTTTGAATTTAGATGGTAAAGTTTCAACTAATCATATAAACGATTAAGCAATTTCTCTAATAGTAGAGAAAATTAGTCATTTAATTGAGCAGTAAACTACGTTTTCAGAGGAATTCTCAAATATTTTTGAGGATGGTTAATTTGTATAGAAGTTGAATGAATTAATGGATGATGTGGAAGATTCATTTGTATTTGATTACAATTCTTTAAGAGCTTTAATTGAAAAAGTTAATAGTGTTTTTTCAAGAATTAATTCAACTAAATAAAAAATATTACAAATATTTAAATAAACTTTTGATTAAAATGACTTGAACTAAAACCCAAATTTGGACATTGTAATATTATAATTATAATAAAAACTATAATAATTTTAAATTGACAAAGAAGAATTAGAATCAAGAATTTAATAATTATAGCTATCTAAAAATAAATACTTGGAAGTTTAGGAGGAATCTAAAAGAGAAAAGAAAATTTTATAAGGAGTTAGAGATATAATTATAGATTTACCGATCTTTTCTCCTTCTGAAGTGTTTTCTTTTTCTGAATAGAGGTTCAAAAATAAGTAAGTTGATTAGGAAGATGCCAAATTGATTCTTGAAGTGAGAAATTAATAAATAACAACATTAAAATTGATTTTAACTGAAAAGTAAACGCAATTAGAGACTCTTAACAATGGGATGATAAAGTTAAAGGATTTAATGAGCAATTATTTTGTACAAATTATGAAATGATCCATGATTAATAATCATTTATTAAATATATATATTATTCTATATTTTACTAATGAATTGAATTATTATGCATATACCAGAATGAATCAAATTTTAAGTGATGAAATAAATCGAATTTCCTAAATATTTTTTATTTTCAAATCCAGATGTCAAAAAAACCTACAGTAGCTCTAATTAAAAGTGTTATCTTAAATGAGGTAAGAGGGAGGTTTAAAAAGTGTTAATTATGTTAAAAAGAGTTTACCCTCTTTCATAAAGAACATCAATGCAAGAGGTTGATAATATTATCTCAACATTAGGTGCCGAAGAGCTGTTTGTCAGACTTGTGCTAATTTTCATGGACCAGTACTAGGCGACGCTGGGTACTCGAAATAAACTCATAGAATTTGCAATACCTGCAAGGAGGAGAGCGAAACAATCAAAAAGTTTATTGAGTAATACAAATTAGGCATAGGAAAGGATACTTTCTCACTTGAATGGCTTAAATCATCGGGCTTAACTATAGATTTAGCTAAAAAAGTAGATTTATTGTATATCTTAGGAATATGATTTTGCTTAAAAAGAAAATGATCGAGCTAAAGATAAGGGAGAGTTTTTAAAAATGAAGCAGGAGTTACAATCAGTCATGATTGATTTTTGGCTTAATCTAAATTACTCATTGAGAGAGTTTCTGTTTAATGTTATGAACAATATTGAATTAGAACAATTACAATAACAAATTTGTAGAGTCTTAGGAGCACTTTTGTTATAATACCCAGAAATAGGATATAGCTCAGACTAGGTGTTGATAACAATATTCCTTTTGTGTTTTTGCTCTGAAGCATCAGCCTACACAATTTTAACTATTTTATACTCTGACATCATTCCTTCATATTTGTACCCCTTGAATTTAAGAAAGACCCCATATGATTATCAACATGAAACAGATTAAGTTCTTCAAGTGCTGGAACAAGGATTTAAAATTAAATAATAAGAATTATAGATCATCAAACCATTTGTCAGATCTAGAATCACAAGATATATTCTGACTTTTGGAATCAATTTTTATATGTTTTAGACATCCTTCTTTATGATTAATCTAATCTTATCATATCCAAAGACTGGATATGACAATTTTATCAAATGTTTGGCTGTTAGCTTTTGTCAATAATTTGAAGATATCAAAACTTTTGTAAATGCTCCTGAAGATGCTGAAGCTTAGATTCTAAGAAATGTGAAATCAACTTAATGTGAAAAAGACTTTACCATGACTAAGGTGATAATCTTTTTGCCTCAGAAAAGAGTGACTTAAAGTGTAGTCATATCGAGATCAAATGATAAAAAACTATCGAATTAGATATAGCCAGAGCATAATAGGGATATAAAGGTTGAAATTTCAATTAAAGGTAACCAAAATCTGTCTGAGACCGCAGTAAGTTCAGAGAAAAACATTTAGGATTCAAGAAGAAAGTCAGTTGAAATTAAAGCCAATCCTGAAGCTGACGAGGAAAAAGCAAACTTAAAATAATATATTGAGAAAATTGAGGAAACATTAATGACAAAGCATAAATTGGTGACTGAATTATAAAATAGAATCAAAGAATTATAAAATTAACCTCCTTAAATTACTAATAATGGAGATGTAGATAAAAAACTCTTAGAAGCTAATGAATAATTAAGAAAAAGAATTTCAGAGTAAGACACACAAATTTC